ACAGCAGGGGATTGACAGACTGGTGTGAAGATGACCAAGGGATGACTTTACTTTGTAGATACTCCAGAATCTGATATGTCGATCGATGACAGACTCCAGGATTCCTATTTCCTTGTTAAGATCCATGTCTTAGTATGTGGGTTATATGTTCATTTTGAATGTTTGTATGTAAAACCCGATACTTACCTGATGTGAAATGATCCCCACAAACGCGAGTATAGTTGTGGTTGGATGGTTTGAGATCCTCCCGTCCGATCCTATTGAGCAATTTTTCCTGGCGACGCTTTGAAAGTTCATGTGTTGCTTCACCCTGGTGTGTTATAATAACCGCCGGCAGCCTGTAAAATGACTTCGGCCCCCTGTTTCGATCACCTCTGTTGCCGCAGCCAACAATGGCACAGAAGTTAACCATTGTATGTCCGGTAAAAAACAAACATTGAACAGGTATGGCGTATTACGGTGTCTGTTTTGGTACTCCAGTATGGCCGTTGCGCTGACGTCACGGGTAACGTGACGTCCTATGCAAAGCCTCTATTGCCAACGGGTAAGCGTAGGAAGTACGTTCGGAGGCAGTGGCTAGCGAAATGTGCTCGGCCCGAACCGAAAGATCCACAGGCGCATGTATGCAGCGAACATTTCAAGTTTCCGGACGACTACTCTGAGTATGATGAAACATAAAATGGGATTTATTAATCAACCATTACTTAATGGAGATGCAGTGCACTGCCAATGCCAGCCAGCGTAAGCACATTACGCAGCAGACTTTACTTATTGTTTACTACGTAAGGAAGCAGGAATTGCAGGACACAGAGCGCACGGAGCACAGAGCGGACAGCAGATAACGGAATTGCAGTTTTATTGCTTATAGATTATCAGAATATTTCAAAGGGGACACAGTCACATTGGATATTAATCTATGGATTAACTACATCATCGTTTTTATCGTTGTAATGCCATTGAAGACCAGTTTAGACCAGACAAAGACCAAGGTAAGCCATGTTAGCCTAGCGCATGTTAGTACCTAGCGCCACTTGTTTTGATGTACGTTTTTGTTGATAACGTCGCGAGTTTGTATCTTTCAGTGTTGAGGTGAGCACCGTTAGATTCTGTGTCTTTACGATCATAAACGATGTGTTGGATGTGCAGCTAGGATAAGTAATAAGGGAGCTAGGAGTGATTTTCGGTGCAGTAATAGGTTAGCATTTTTCGCTCTGGGCTAATTCAGAGGCTCACTGTTAGCATTGTGTGTTTTCTTTGGAGAAAAAAAATGAAAAAGATCAGTTAAATTAGTTTTTTTCCTGTTATATGGATATACAATATTCATAGTTTATTAAATATTAAGGTTCCTTAGACGTTGTTTCCTGCAAATGATGCGATTGCCGCCCCGGAACCGGGTCCGTGGGGCCTAAGAGGATAACAGAGTATGTTTTTAATTTTTTTTACAGTTTTATTTGGATGGAATGAATACCTATAGTGATAATTCAAAGTAAGGCCGCCTGGACTTTATTTTTCTAAACTTCTTCCTCGGCTGACTAGTCCGAACTCAAATACTCCGCCATGTTTTCGTCGTGTGTTTACAAAGTGAACGCATAGATGAAGTCACGACCTAGTTTTTCGGATCATGTGACTACTGAAAATGGCCAAAATGGCAGCTGCCTGACGGAATATACAGGTTTTGATAAAAAAGAGCTATATACAATTATTATTTACCGGGGAATATCGCTGATTTCTTCAGGGTATGGTTTAAACATAATGTTTCACTAAATACTGAAGTTTTGATTAACTATCTAATGACTGGAGCCTTCCTTTAAAGACAATTGTAACATTTTCCACTAAAGACAAAGCCTGTCCAGAAAGTGACTTAAGAATGAGACCAAAAAGACACAAAGAATGAAGTATGAATGAAAGAAAAATGTGGGAACACACCACTGAAAACAAACAATCATGGCCTTTACACGATGAAGGGAAATAAACAAATCCACACATTTCATGGAGGGGTGAAAGTAGGCCAGCTGCTGATGGAGCCGTTGAGCGTTCAGAGTGCGACGTGACAGGAAGTGGAGCCAGCTTCCCGGTCCTGATTGGGGATCAGCCCACGGGCCCCCTGTTCCCCTGCGTGCCACGCCTGTCCCTCACACCCCGCTGCTCTCAGATCTGTCACATTAGGGCCGTCGCTCAAACACTGACGGCGCCTTGTGATTGTTTGTCTCGTGTCACGCTGATTACTCTGCTCATTGGAACCTGAGTGAAGGAAGTGCATGAAGTTGTGGGAGGAAGTCACACTCGGTAATGATGCTATTATCTGCTCGGTCATTGGCCAACGTTCCCTTAAAACATCTGGAGGCTCGTGGAGTCGACCCCTCTCCCCTCCAGGAACAACAGATGCCAGATCCCAGTCATCTGTCCTGAGCAGTGCTGTCATGTGATTATGTGATACGGGCTGCATGTGAACTGTCACACATTAATCCGATGTGTAAAAACTAGTCACGTTTAAATCAAGGAAAATAAAGTAAATGGGTGGCCATCTGCCAAAATGATAAAAATAATATCAAGTATATTATATATATATATACCATATGCTTGCATATCTCTATTTTATTTTGCATCTCAGCATTGTGTTACTTTATTTTTACGGTTTGAGTGCAGGCACTTTGTGATATGGGATTATTTTATGGACTCTTAATGCATCAGCCGTTTTATATTAATGGCCGTGCACGGAGCTTCTTCTCACTTTTTTTAAACATAATTGAGAAGGAGGGACGACTGATGAAATATTTGAAATATTTTGTAGCTTAAGTACTTTGCTGAAATCATTTTTACGAGACTTTTATGATCACATTTCTTCTCCTTTTAATGATGCTGCAGTTTGTGTGTTTATTCGTGTGTTAGACAGCGTATTAACTGGGCTGCCAAAGTTAAGGTTAAATTAATAAGAAACACATCATTCTAATGTGCTTTTTAAGTTGAATATATATCTTACTTTAATTTCTTATTTCATTTGCTACTGGACTCAACTGGATAGTCATGAATTTCCAAAATGAAGATGCTAGGTTCTTCTAAAAAAATATATTTAACATATTTAAACTATTGTTTAATATGTTTTATTTTTATACAACAGATCCTGATTATTGGTTAAGTTTATCATCGTCTTGTTTTAAACTGTATTGCCTCATGCATTATGGCTGCAGCTTTATATCATTTTGTAATTAATTCACAAAGCCTTCTCTCCTCTGTAAACAAATATAAATAACATATTACAATACATTCAAATGTAATTCTAATATCATAAAGCCTCATTTTAATTCCATGCTGCAGCTGCACAGCATTCTGCATGTGTGTGTGTTAAGTCTAAATGCAGTTGTACGTATATAATATCTAGCAGGGCTGTTGGCCCTGGCTCTCTGCACTCAGCTCTCAGCTGCTCTTGTCTCTGTATAATCCCCCCTCCCCATGAATACATTAACGCCGCAGCCTTAAACTCAGTTTAGCTGGCGGCTCAGCGTCACAGCACATCCTATTACCGACTTTAAATCATTAATGTGACATCGTTTTCACTCAATTTCCAAACACCCACGGTCGAAAACTGCATATTTCACTGAGCCGGTGCAGAGGGCCACGCTCAGAGTCCCACTGTGACTGGACGCATGCGCACACTTAGACAAACGCTTAGGTGCGTGTGATTCATAAGTTTTCCTTTGAGCTTTAAGAGCTTTGCAGAACTAGTTAGAGAACATTAAATCATATTGATAATATGCAAAGCAAAGGACAAACAGGCGTTGAAATGTGCCCACTGTAATAGTTTCACTCTTTTGTCCCAACTATTGTGATGGAAACAGCCGGTGGATAATTGTGGTTTAAGCTGAGCTGACTCCTACAGTACACTTTAGGGTGTGTGTGTACAGTATGTGTGTATATGATTTAATCTGTGAGTCTAGCCACCGTTTGCTTCCCCCAGCATCTCGTGTACTGCTGACAATAAAGGAAAAATAAAAATCTGAATCCCCCCTCTTGCTCCTTAACTATTCACACATAAACCTTTTCTCAGGTTTTACCTCTAGGCTGGCTTTGAAAAATTCACAACGCCCAGAGAACAACTAAGTCCTTCACTTAGCCTCCCGTAGGCTAGGAGCTGCGGATCTGTCCCCATCGTGCCTCCTTATTGCATCAAAAGGGCTTTTCTGTGTGAAGCTATGGTAATTAGCAAAGCACGTAAAATCATCTCCTCTGAGTGCATTTAACTGTTTTTATGTGCAGAGCGGGGGGGCTGATTGCTGAACATATGGACACAGATGGGGACAGCATTTTAATGGGCGCACTGAGTGGAGTTTTGTGTTTTTAACCCTTGAAAGTGGAGGCAGGAACATCCGCAACATCTTTAAGCGAGCATCAATTAAAGATGTGCTTTTACACAGGCGACAGCAGCAGGCGCTTTTTAGAGACGGCCAGAGAACACAATCTTCCCTATTTTTGTTTGTGCGACTCGCTCACATTTCATCACTCACCCCCCCTCTGCTCCCCTCCCATGTCCCTTGTTGTGCTTAATTAGGTTATCAGGTTGCTAACGGGCCGTGATTCGGCTCCACGCCTCCCAGCTGGCCCTCTGATTGGAGGGGCAAGAAGGTGGACTTAGCATAATTAACACGTTGTTATGGAGATGATCGAATTGTTTGGCGACTCACGGGCAGTCCCACCGCTGTGATGACTCCCATTGTGTCCAACGGAAGTTAATATGAAAGCCACAAAAATTAAACGCAGGTGGGACATTTAGATTTATATATCCCCCCTTTCAAAAACTCCTAACTATCTACTTGTTTATTTATCTTTGCAGTTTATTAATATCATATGAACAAGTGTGGATGCGTTCACTGCCCGTTACTATTTCTGCAAGTTTCCTGCACAATAAGGCCATGGCAGTGTGTATGTTTATGTGAATATGTTGGAGCTGTTAAAGCATTGTGTGAATGCATGTGTGGAAGAAAGAAGTGACCAGGACCAGCACAAGTTTTTTACCCAACACATTGCTGTCTTTATTAGAGCCTTGTCTGGCAGTAATACTGAAAAAAAGTGAACTTAGAACAGATGGTGGTGGCAGCCCACGGCTTGTTTTTTTTCTTCTTCCTGTTTTTCTTTATTTCTTTGATATTTTTCTTCATTTTTTTGTGAGAGTACTGCGACTTCTGCTTTTCCGTGGCATGGATAACATCAATAAAGAGACAGTAGGGAGAGAAAAAAAGAAATATACAACTTATATTACACTGTGTTATGAACAAAATATAAATCTATAACTCTATGTTATATTTACATAATTATCTTTCTTGATTTTTCAAGTTGAGATGGTAAGATATTTTTTTTTTTACTTGTAATAATTCTTACTTTGTTGTGAGCTCCACTCATGACTTTGATTGTCTTAAATAATATCATCATTTTCATTGTCTTGATATGGGGTCAGACCTTGCCAGCAGGGATGATTGACGTCCTAATGCCCCACCCACCCCTCTGTTAAACTAAAAATGGATTGATCCACTGAGTCCCCTTTTCTCCAGCATTGGGTAGAACCAAGGTGTGATAAGAGGGGTGACAGCAAATTAAGACCCAGAGGCTCATTATGTGGCATGTAGCAAAACATCTACAGCAAGAATGATTGATCACTATGTGGCAGCACACCTGAAGAGTAGTCATGGCTCCTGTAGCATCGCGTGGAGCTCAAACAAAGCGAAGGGCTCCTGATGAGAAGTGACTTTAAAGATACTGTAGATACGTGTGGTCGTCTCACACGCACACTCTCACACACAGCGGAACACTCTGGTGGATCACGATAAACACTGCTTTCCTATGATTTAAAGAAAAACACCAACAAAATATATGTACAAGATTTTAAATCTAGTATACTAGATTTCATAAAACACAAAAAAAGGACAGCATAGGATTTGTTTGGTAGTCATGATAATCTCTTCATTTGAAATGTGTGTGAGTGATTGTGTTTGTGCATGTGTGTGAGTGTGTGAGTGCATCCAAGCCAAAGGTGTTCCACTGTGTCTCGGTGAGGCGACAAACACTAGTAAACGGGGACGGGACTCTTTGTTCACAGAAAACAGTTTCCAAAAGTGATACAACTGATTTCCCCAAATATTCAAATAAAAGGCAAAAAAAGAGAGGAAACTTCACATTATACATTATAATAACCATTACAAATCAAATTATAATAACAATAAAAAATCATGTTCTTCTTTTTCTCCAAGTCTGAGTGCTTTTTAGAAATGGGTTTGGACATGAACAGGTTATGTCTTCAGCTCGGAGGGGGGTCGGGGGCAACTACGCCCGCCCCCCCGCCCGGGGGATTAATACAAAACAAATGCATTAAAAAAAAAGGGGACAAAAGAATGCAAAACAAAGCAAGGTAAAAATGACAACTTTTGTTTTAGCTAAATACCTACCAGCTAAATAGAATAATGTTTCATTGACTGTCATGTTTCATATGGTCGTAAAGAGGAGAAAAATAAATTATACTGTACATAACTTACTAAACTTAGGAAACGCTGACCATCCTTATAATTATTGTTAATAATATTATTAGACTAGAGGCAGTTTGAAGAGAAAAAAATAAAATACAGTATTCAAATACAAACAGAAACACTGACTGGCTGCTTCAGCTCCGCCCACTGGGGGCAGCAGGACGATGTTGATTGGAGGGAGCAGGAAAACACTGAGGGGCAGAACAACAGGTGTGTGTGTGTGTGTGTGTGGTACAGTAAATAACAGCAGCAGTGTAAGCCTGTCTTTCTGTATCTGAGACCTTTTAAGCCTTTTTTCTCACACTGAAATTTAAATTTTACACAAATGTGCAAATGGCCAATACATGAGTACACACATCACACACCGACACACACTCGAGATAAGTTGTTCTAATTTTTAGCCCCGGACGCGATCAAGATAGAAGGACGCAGCGAGAAGAAACTGGTGGATTGTCTCACAACACAGTGCTTTTGTTTCTGCTCCTAAACTCCCCTTCTCCCCCCCGGAAAATCTCTTAAAGTGGGACAGTCCATGCTGCACTGGTCAGTCCTGGCTGGACCGTCCCATCGGATTCCCAGATTGCGGGGGGAGAGGGAAAAAACACAGAGAAAAAAGGGATGAACCGCTGACAGCACACTGCGAGGTCGAAGAAAAGATATGCTCTCGTTAAAAATAAACATGTCTGATGTCTTTCAGGTGCTTTACAACAAAAGGGGGAAAAAAGAAATGTCTCTTTTTTCCTATTATTATTCAAACTTGTAGCACAAAAACAACAAATCACATTCACAAGCCACTTATTGGCACCGTGTACCTGAGTGAGAATATTATAGAACCAAAGAACAAAAAAAGCTGTTTCTTTTTAAAAGTGTCTCTTGATAATAAACAGGTCCGCCATCTTAAAGTGTCATCTGTTAGCCTTTGACAGGTCCACTGATTCGTCTTTCATTTGAAAATGTCTCCTTTTTTCTACAAACGGGTCTAAAAGGTTGCTTTTTGAGTGTGAATGATATCTCTCCTCACTCCTGGTATTACACTCAGAACCTTGCAGTAGTACTTGAATATTCCTCAGCGAGCGTCAGAGGCTGGCTCGGTCGTCAGACTCCAGTTAGTGTAACAGTCAGTGTGAGTGACAGGTCCTGTGCTTCAGTTGATTGATCAGATGCTGGTATCAGGACTCCAGTGGGGGGGGGGGAACATTTGGCTCTCTTAAAGAGTCCATGTTAGTCAGGAAGGGTAGGGGGGTGGGTGTTGTGAGATTGGGACTCGAGGTGATTGGCAAAAAGAGAGAGTTTTCTTCCTGATTGGTGGGTTTGGGATTGTGTGGGGATAACCAGCTATGATTGGCTTACAAATAGGCAGCTGTCAGGCCGTCCTATTGGGTGATATGGTTCTCATTATCGCTGGTGTATTCTGCCTCTTCGTCCTCGTATTCGAAGTCGTCGTACCCGTTGCCGTTGCTGTCGTCCAGCCGCAGCACCTCCTGCTTGATTCGTGGCTCCTCCCCCTTCAGGCCAGCCAGGTGGGGGTTCTGGTGGTGGGTGGCGTTTGGCTCTGGGCTGCTGGACATGCTTGAGTGCTCTGAGGGCATTTGGGGGGAGGGCATTCCTGCCATGGAGAGGGCGCCTGGGTAAACCACCCCTCCGGAGGACAAGGGTATTTGGCCTTGCTGCCTGTAAGACACAGCAGAGGGATGTTAACACATGATAAGCATACGAGTGTTTTCCAAACCACAAACAGCTCACCTGGCTCCAACATGGAAACAGAATCCACCACCCAGGCCAACTAGATGTAGCCTATACCTTTTTGTGATCACTTCAGCAAAATGGTGTTTTTTTTGCCTTTCTTCTTTTACTTAGGTTCTTTTTAGTGTTTTAAAGTCTTCCCCCTATTTCCCCAAATATCTCCATCTTTGAGGTTATATTAGTTTGACTGATTTATTTATCAGCAACATCATAAGAAGATTTAGTTTTAAAGACAGAGAATGAGAACATTTACAAATGTTGTGGAGTTATTTTAAAACTTGTGGCTTGTGTTGCTTGTCTGAAAATCCACATCAACAATCTAAATCAAACCTCAATGTTTAAAGAGTGCTAATCAAATTCTATCTTGTTTATCTCAAAACTGATGTCATGAGGCTTAATCAAATTTATTGGGAAAAAAGCAAAAGTGCAAATGCAATCTGCTAATAAGCTACAAATATTAAAGTATACTAAAGCATAACAGCTACTGCTCTTGATCCCTACCCAACACTGAAGTATTGTCTCATTTCCTGCCTGCGGGACCTCATGATAGCCTTGTACTCGCCGATGCGCAGCTTCTTGCCGTCCACCAGGCAGGTGCGTTTGGGCCGCGGCTTGTACTTGTAGTCGGGGTATTTCTCCAGATGCTGCTTGCTGAGGCGAGCCTGCTCCTCGTAGTACGGCTGCTTCTCCAGATTAGTCATGGATTTCCAGCGTGAGCCTTAACAATGAAGATAATGATTAGTATCTGTGCTGTACAGAAAAATTACAAAAATAAATTGGCATCCTAAGCAGTAATCATCTGTATGACGAACAAAAGTCTGCGTGGCGGCATCACATGTGCATACCGACACACTTATAATGGATATAACCCGGATAATGGTGGCAGTTTCGCCATGAAAAAGGAAGCGGTCAAAAGAAAAAGGTTAATGAGGGGAGCGGTGAGGACGACAGGTACTTATCTAAACTAATGAGGACTTCACTGAACCTGCTGTCATCTCTCTCAGCTCACAGATTTGTTGTATCAGTTGCATGTGTGTGTGTGGGTGTAATCTTGAGCTAGTTTTCCCCTGTGTGCTTCATATCTGGTCTGAATTTGCACTTGACTACTGTATGTTTAATGGGTAAAAGCTGTCAGCACTTGGCTGTTCGCGTGCTCTGTCTTTCCCTCTCTGTTCTGCGATCTGTTAGCAATCGAGAGGGAGAAAAGGAGAGGGCTTATTAAAACCAGATTTCTCTGTGTTATAAAACGCTTAGGAGCTCTTTAAAATGTCAGGGCCGATCCTGGCGGTCTGGGGGAAATGTCAGGCGGCCTCGTGCTGCTTGTTTAATGCATAATGAATTATATCATCATTTGTCGGAGCCGTGCCCTCCCCAGCCGTTCATTAACAGCCGCTTACACAATGCCACCGCTTGTAATGAAATCACTTTGTGTGTTTGAGAACGTGGGAAATAGGAGCTGCAGTACATGCGTCTTCCTTCCTCTTGGGCTGCGCACTGTGTAGTGGGGGGGTTAGGTGGCCAGGGCAGAGGCTGCTGTCACTTAAAGGAGACGTGTGTGTCAGTGTGTGTGTGTCTTACCGAGGATCTTGCTGATGTTAGAGTTGTGCATGTCGGGGAAGGCCTGCAGGATCTTTCTCCTCTCGTCTTTGGCCCACACCATGAAGGCGTTCATCGGCCTCTTGATGTGCGGCTCGGCAGTGCCGCGACCCCGAGCCTCCCGGAATATTCTGGAGTCTGACACGCTGGGGGAGCCTGGGGAGGAGGTGGGAGGAGACACATGAGAAACAAATACAGATATAAAGTAGGTTTTTTAAAGAAAATTACAAAAAAAAACATGTTCTTCAAATGTCGATGTTTTTATTTCTTTCAACACACTGAATGGTTTTGAACATAATTTGTGTTGGCTTCTTAAGCTGAATAAAATATAACAACTAAATAAACTATAAGACAAGTCAAACAAAGCTGAACAGGTGTATATTTATACTTATAAAGAATGAAAAGTTCTATAAAAAGTTCATGAAAAGTGGACGTTTAAGTTTATTATTATATAATCTCATAACGCTATTAAAAAGTAAGAAGAATCACACTTTACAATTCTCCTTTCATTTGAAAATAATGAATCAGTTTTGTCACCTACATATAAATGACTGTGTGTGTGTGTGTGTGTGTGTGTGTGTGTGTGTGTGTGTGTGTGTGTGTGTGTGTGTGTGTGTGTGTGTGCATACCGTCAGAGTCTCCGCTCATGGTGAAGTCCAGCATGGCGTGGCTGAACTTGTCCTCCGCCTGCTGCTTCAGCTGCTGACTCAGACTCTCCAGGGCGGCCTTCTCCTGAACAACACAAACAGTTCACAGTCGCTCAGAGAGTGATTCAATCAGAGTGAAAACATGAATGAGTGAAACCACCGACCTGCAGTGATGCAGAAACATTTTAGTATTTATAAACAAATAGATTTTTTTAGCATCTTAAGTTTTTCATTGATATGATTTATTTTGCATTATACATATAAAGAGTAATGTCTAATGTCACAATCTCCATTTACCACATACATCTCATTAGATGTCCGTTGGCCTAAAGCACATCCGTCCACAGCAAATCAGTTTTAAATATGTTTGAAATCCTTCGCCGACTAACAAATCAAAGGAGAAATCTCAGAAATGTTCCCCTTTGTTCTGATATCAATCGGTTAATGACAATAATGTTTGATTAGTGGATTCAAACGGAGAAAGCAACGGTTTCAGTAGACAACAGTTTGTGTTGTGGTTTGTTTGCTGAAATGTTAATGTCAACAGCAAATTGTTAGAGTGCTGTACGCCTTCATGCTTGAACACACATCTGTGTATGTTTGCATGTGCAAGAATGTTGATTACATTTAGTCCTATTTGGATGTTTACTGTTGTGTGTGTATACAGTATATGTTATGTGTGTGTATGTGTGTGTGGCGGCTCCTGGCAGCCACCTGCGAGAGTGGAGTGCAGCGGCTTGCCTCCCTCTCCCAGAGGCCCCCGAGGGTCGACGCATTAGAGGGAGAGAGAACGGGAGAGTGCAGCGCGGACGAGAGCGAGGCCACGCCGCACGGTCCCCTGGGTATTTATTACAACCAATAAAAGCCTGATTTACTGAGCATTTACATGCTTAATGCAAGCAGCCGGCACTCTCCGCTAGAACCTGACTGTCGACGAACACACACACACACACACACACACACACACACACACACACACACACACACACACACACACACACACACACACACACACACACACACACACACACACACACACACACACACACACACACTCCGCAGTGCTTCAGCGCCAGCGTTTTACAGTTTAATTACACGATTAGGAGCAGTACCCAAAACACTGTTGTCTTCTAAAACAACCTTCCCAAAAGTGTCCCTCTCCATTTATATGTGACCCTGGCGAGCCGGCTGGCGATAATGAAATGCATTTCCTCTGTTTTTAGTCCAGCCGAGTTTAATTGTTAGAGATCATTTCCCCCCAGATTGGAATAAATACAGCTAAAGAGACGAGAAGGCAAGGCTGCGGCACGCTGTGGAAATGTTCTCTTTTGGTTTATTTGCAAGTCATTTATTTTTATTATGTTTTAGTAAAAGAGCATTTATCTAGCAGATTTTGTATGTAAATAATTAAGAATGTTCCTTTCCTCTCCACAAACCTTATTCAGGAAACAAGCACAAAATGTGCCTCACACTTTTCGACTTTAAGCCTGAGTGTGCCGTTACAAAGGGCTTTTTGCTGTGTGTGTGAGACAGAGACCAGATGAACAGGAGACAGAGTGGATGACAGCCTAGTCTGACATTAAGCCCCAGTACAGTACATGAGAAAAGTGGATTGAATGGCTGACACTGGAGCCAAGACACAAAGTAGCGACAAAAACTAATCCGCTGAGTGTGTCAGAGATGACACTGTTGTAATGCTGAGAGCTCGCCGGCTGCACAAAGCCACGGGCCGACGTGCAGCGCGTGGCTTTCGGAGCTGAGAGTCGTGTTTTCTCCCAAATAAAGTCATCTAAAATATTACTGAATTTTACATCTAAATATACTTTAACTTATAAGGTCTTAAAGAGTATATAAGACTGCATGACAACAAAATACAAAGCATCTGTTATTCTTAGTTTTAAATTAAAAACTGAAATCGACTGTCAAAATTCATAATTTGCACCATGTGTACAAGTCACAATAAATAGAAAACATATTTTTGTCCCACCTCATTTCACTGGATGATAACATACTCTATTATTACCAGATGTAACGCCAATTATGTAATAAAACGTACAGCTTAAAACCTCCATCTAATGCGATGGATCTTTGAAACACGCTGTAAAATATGCTCCTGACAATCAGCAGCCTTTCCCGATGTTCCCTCACTTCCCAGTAGAGTTGCCGTGGTTTAAATCGAATTGGCAATTAGACCGTTTATTTTGACTGTATCTACAGTATACTGATAGTTACACTCTGTCTAAATGTGGATAAAAACCTCAGTGAAACACATAAGTGTGGGTTTGTCTGTCTGAGGCACATCACAGGAGAGAGGGAAAAAAGGAAGAAAGAGACAGACAGAGCTGTTGAATGTCAGCGGTGCAGATGCTTCAAGCACACTGTTGCTCTGTAAGTATGTGTGTGTGTGTGTGTGTGTGTGTGTGTGTGTGCATGCGCGTGCACCAGCTGACTCCCAATGTGTTTAACAAATAACCGCAATTTAGCCACGCTGCCGAGGAGCCGGCGCCGTCACTTCACATTACCGTCTCCCCAACGCTCCGCTCTGCCACACACATCGAGGCACACACACACACACGCACGCACGCACGCACGCACGCACGCACACACACACACACACACACACACACACACACACACACACACACACACACACACACACACACACACACACACACACACACACACAAGTGGCCCCGCAGTGCACCTTACAGACACACTCATTACCTCCGAGACGCCTCTGGTTTTACCTTATCTGGCCCTGTTTAGCTTCAACACATTTCAGCGAGCGCATTGAACACTGATTTCCCTCCTACATGGCGCAGGAGGGATGGCATATGGCAAGACAAATTATTACACACTGACAATGAGACGGCGCAGCTTGTGACGACTTTTTTAGTTTTTTTTACGCATTTTTGGGAGAATTTACAAATGTAAACCTTTGGAACCAGTTGTATTATTTTTCTCTTGACATAATCCACAGTTTTTGATGCAATTGATGAGTGGGAGTTACTTGTCATAATAAACTGTTTTTTTACATGATGCAGAATTACATTAATGAAGACTGTTTTATAATATGTATTTTAATCAAGTTGTAAATATAAATGATAAACACAATAAATTGTATCACATAGTGACAGTTGACCTTTTAAACATCTGTTATTATGAATTTAGATTTAATTCATACAGTCCCCTGTTGCTAAGGTGACAACACATTCTGATGCTGTGGTACAGATGTAAAGCTGTTTACCTTCTCTGATCGTCCGTTGTTGAGGCTGAGGTTGCTGACGGCGGCCACCTTGGCGTCCAACACCTGCTGCTCCCTCTTCAGCTGCTCCTTCATCTGCCGCGCCTCGGCGAAGGCCTTGCTCACCGCCTCGTGGTCGCTCAGGTAGGCGGTCGTGGACAGTGACGACAACAAGTCTGCTGAGACACGTTCAGGGACACGGGGAGAGGCGATTAATTTGGTTTTGTGCATCCATTAGTAGTGTGTGAAAGAGTCATTTAACTTGAGTGGCTCTGTATCTACTGTATCTGTACTGTAAATGTACTTAAGTGTAATGAGAGCATACCAAATAGATGTGCGTGTGTGTTCATATTTCGGAGGAAGGCAGGAGGCTTTCATCCAGAATAAATCTTCCCGTGAACCATGAGGTAAAGACATTAACATATACTTGATGAAGAGAGTTTTCCGGAGCATCTGTGTGTGTGTGTCTCCGTCTCCTTCTCTCTCAGAGTCACACACTCACACTGACCACTTCACTGTGGAGTTGGGCATGTGAGTCACAGTGTGCCCCTAGCTAGCCTCGCTACACGCTGCCCACAGCTTCCTCCACCTGCTGGCAGCGGTAAACACACACCACGTCTGTAAACACCAGCACTCCCTCTCAACTTCCACTCCTCTAAATCCAATTAAAACACCCATCTTTCCACACGCACACCAACACATCTCTTTTGATGTGAATCCCTCATAGTTCCACTTTGAAGAGAGGTGGCCACATGACTCTTATTACGGCTACAAAGTCCTGCTAATTTCCCCAGTTGAGAACATCTGCCCTGCCACATAGCAAAGATCAAATCTCCCCGCTCCTCCTCGTCGCCTATTATTTGTATTATTTCCGCAGATTAGTCGCCGATGAGGCATCTGCTCTGAATGTGTTTGTGAGGTTGTGTACTATCACCTCTCTCTATCAGGCGGGTTGGCTCCTAACAAAGAGCCACGGCTGGCTTATGGGGCCTTTATCAGCGCTAATCCGCACCGCTAATGCCATCTCAAGCCAGATTACCAGCTTCAGATTGGTAATGACAGAGCCGTGAACTCTTTCAGAAGTCATAACCGGAAAATCTGGATGTGAGCGGGGCCAAAAAAAATGGGGGGAGAGGACAGAAGAGAGGGCGATGGAATCGGGTGGCAGTCCATTTTAATCTGGAGTCAAACGAGAGGGAAGGGGGGGGCAGATGGATATTCTCGCGCTCATGGATGTGTGTGCGAGTCTCGCTTAAACTGACAGCGATGCCAACCATCCAGACAAGTGAATGTGACCCAGATAGCAGGGGAGGGGGGTGTCTCTCTCTCTGTTTCTCTATCTCTTTCTCTCAATCCACACATACACACACACGCACGCACACACACACACACACGTTTTGTCTCTCTGAGCGCCGAGTCTCTACAGACAGGTGCAATACCTTTTTTTTGGCCACCACTCTGGCAATAAGGTCAGGGGGGGAACTGCAGTTTTGTGATGTGGACGAAGACAAATGTGTGATGGCGGTAGAAGTTAAAGGCGCTGACAGCCTTTCAGTTTGGTTTGAGATGGGAAGATGGACGGATGGATGGAATAAGGGGGGGAGAGGGAGACATGCCTTTGGGTTGGTGGGTGTCAGAGAAGTGAGAGGTGAGACGAGCGGGAATAGGCAGATGACTGGAATTAACTCGCAAAGAGTGGAACTAATGAAAATACAATGTTTTTATTCCTTTTTAAGGTTTTAATTTCATCTTTAAAAAAAGTATATTTTGTATGTTAAATCTGGTAACTCATTCCCTCTGATAGTGAAGTAAGTCATTCTTTCACTGCAAATCATATAAAACGTTTGTTTGCCACCTTTTTTTACTTCATTTTTTTTTTACATTTTCAAATAGCATAAAAAAACAAACGTTCCTGTTGTATTTCTTTTCTTTTAATTTTCACTCCATCCACTGCTTGTGTGTCTGTTTGTTTTTTCTTGTCTGAATTTAAATAACACACACACACACACACACACACACACAACACACACACACACACACACACACACACACACACACACACACACACACACACACACACACACACACACACACACACACACACACACACACACACACACACACACACACACACACACACACACACACACACACCAATATGTCTGCCCCTTCTATCCCCTCTGAACTTGTAACAGGAATCCTAATACAACGATACACTGCAACAACAAACAGGCTGGTGACCGGCTCTACTCAGTGGCAACAGATGGGACCACGAGCTACGGCAAAACCAGGGATCTGCGACGCTAACACACTGGCCTCCACGCACAAATAAATCAGCGGGGATCACACACTAACTTTAAACACTGTAATCCATTTTTCGGAACAAAAAACATCTGGGACCGCAAATCCACTAATCTGATATTAAATCCGCCGATTTGTTGAAAAACAGTGAGATTAGCCAAGAAGTCAGAAAAAAAGGACTAACTGCCTATTGCACAGGAGGAGGAGGAGGAGGTGGGATTGAGTGTGTGTGTGTGAGCCTTTGTGTGATTTCAGTGTGTGTTAGTGTGTGCGTGGTGTCATTGTGTCATTAATGCTGGGTGTTTGCGCTGTCCTGGCTCATGTAAGAGGCTTGTCTAATCTCATTGGTGATACCTCCTGTCTGTCATGCGTTCCTCTCTTTATTATTCCCCCGCTTCATCGCTCGGAAAAAAAGTGCTAATCCCCATCTCTCTCTCTCTCTCTCTCCTTCCCTCACTGCTGTGTCTCTCTGTCTCTTTCAATCACTAATAAACACATAACAATGGAGCAGCCCAGAGGCAAATAGCGACACGGAAAACAAACCACAAACACATTAATTATAGCCTGTTACATATGTTTAATATTTGAACTACCAGTGTTGCGTGAAAAATGGATTAAGACTACAAAATAGTGATTCATTTATGTCATATTTCATGCATGTGTGCATATGGCCGGGTATGATTATGGTACTGGCAGTCGCAACAATGGCAACACTGAGAGGGGGATGCTATTCTTGTCATCACCACTACCTGTTTGTTGGTTTGAACATGTGTATGAGTTTTTTTTTATCTTCTTCGTCTTATTTTTGTTTTTGGTTATCATTTGTATTCCAACAGCAATGCTGCATCTACCAAAGTCATAGCTGTATAGAGGACACAACTACAAAAAAAGACCCACCTTTTTGAAATATGTTTGAACTTTTCTTGCTCCGTCTGTGTTTTGGAGTGTGTGTACAGTATGTGATGGAGACTTTAGTCCACTTACCTATGGAGCTGACCCTGGTGGGTGGGCCTCCGATGCTGGAGGGGGCAATGCTGTGCTTCATGTTAGGGCCCAGCTTGGCGGCAGCGGCTGCAGCGACCTGTGGGGAAGTTGGGGGGGAGTTGGGTGACTTGCTCTCGGATGCCTTAGGCTTGGCCGACAGGTTCAGTGGCTGTGCACCCTCACTGTCCTGCAAAAACCAAAACAGCACAGTTTCGCCTGCTGTGACCACCATAGAAATTTGGAAGCAGGAGGCAGGGGTGGGGGGGACCCCTCCCCTTACCTCACCGAGACAACTCGCAAATTAGGCTTTAACACGTACCAATGTAACAGGAGCCCATGCACAGCAATGGGACAGATAACAAGGTGCATGCCACTGCCTGGATCCAAACAGCCCGTCATAAGCAAAACACTTTTTGCAGCAAACAACAATAACCACTGACATTTACATGCAATAAACTGACTTCGTATCACAGCGAAGTCAAGATGATTCATGCACATGCATGTGCACGCTCCACATGCACGCTCAAGTAAACATTCAATGTAATTCTGCTCCTCGACATGCTTCAAACAAGGCCAGCGGTAAGAGCAACAATCACACACCATGTTTTTTCTTTCTAAAACGACAGTCTGCGCCTCTCTTTCATACAAAGGAACACCTCCTGAGTCTGAAGACCATGGTGACTTCTCAACATGAGACGGTGAACAGAACAGAGGACTGTCTGCCACTTCAATGTGCACTTGCTCCATTAGAAACTAGGGTCATGTCTGTGAACATGGCAGTGTGTGAAGGGAAATGCGAAGCAGCACTTTCTGCTTCAAAGACACACGCCCACATTCCCAGGAACCAATCAATAACTTTTAAAGTAGCTGTTTTTTTTAGGTCCATGCTGTTGATGCCAACAATAGTCATATGTATAACCAAGTGCATCAAAATCCAAGCATGTGCGCACACAGCAATAACCTCAAATTGTGACACAGACAGAGGGCCCCTAAATGAATCGGCATGTGGACCACCGCTCGACGCCGAGGGCTGTTATCTCGTTAATTGTCATGACAACACCACCCCTGCTGATGATCTAATCCAATCATTGGGAGTTTTGGAGGGTCACATGACGGGAAGGAAGGAATTAGATCGCCCTGGGGCCAGATGTATACAGACCACTCTGTGTAATTAAAACTCCTCAATTAAAAAGGCAGACCCAACACGGGGCCGGGGACAGCCTAATGGGCCCGCCAGTAAATATGCACAATGGTGTTTATGCCTATTTAGAAAAACAGTTTGTATTCTTTTGTTTTATTACAATAATATATTCATTATTCCTGGGTTTAGATTTCATAAAACCAAGTGCTAAGCATTACAGGTGTGCCCTATTGTGGCTACATTTAAACCATAGAATAGAGACATTATTTTATTTTATGGTCATTAGTCTAATTGCTTCTTAGGCGGAGAAGAATCACCATACAGTTGGATCCAAAAAGGAGCTAGTACTGTATGTGTGTGTGTGGTATACCCACTCATTAAGGCCGACTTTCCCTGATTCCCACTCCTTGAGTCGTTCTAAGCCTTATGAGCCCCTCACAACTCAATTAAGCCCTTCCAATTAAGCCCCTACATGTGTACGTGCCTATGCGTGTGTGCGATCACCACTTTGTGTGTGTGTGCGATGAGGCCTAACCGGATTGTCCTTCATTAGGGGGGTCTTTCTAAATAGACGGAGGACCCCCAAAGATGCCTTGAGTGAGACAATGGGCCGGAGAAGAAGAGGAGAGAAAGGAGGAGAGAAGAACTGAGAGGGATCTTCTCAATCCTGACCCATATTATGGTGGGCTTTGGCTGGGAACGATATTTATTACAAATAGATAATGCCTCCGCCTCTTGTACAGTGGATGGGGGGAGTTTCCTCTCCGCGCCAAGCCAAATCCTATGGTGGGAAGGTGGCCAACCTGCATTATGCCAGTGTGGAGGAATTAGTTTAGACAGTGGAGCTGAGAGGCTTGGACCGACTTGTTTATGTGTGTGTGTCACTGCGAGACATTGTTCAACAAGCTCTAAATCTCATGGCAACGTGCATGCGTGCGTGTGCGTGTGTGTGCGTGTGTGTGAGGCCTCTAAAGCCTCTGAAAGCCCTGGAATCTTGAATTAATACAATTGCTTTTGTGTCTCTCTTGGCTGATGAAACAGTCTCCAGCTTTGAGACCGAAAACATGCAGAGTGACAACGAGAGCCAGAGGGACAGGGAGGAAGCAGGAGGGGAGAGATAGTGTGAGTGTGTGTGTGTGTGTGTGTGGGCTGTATTTCACTTCTGTGGATGCCGACATGTGAAAGCGACATCAGGGCTCTGCATCTTATCACTGGGGCTGATGGTTCAATTAACAGGACAAGTGTGTGTGCCTCTGCAATTTATCATGGGCAGGCTCCAGTGTGTGTTAAGGTGTGTGTGCTACAACAACTATGTCAGGACCCCAACGTGTTCCTCCCTCCTTTCATCTCTCTGTCTCTCCTCCTCTCTGTTTCCTCCTCTCTTCTTCCCTTCTAGCTGTAAGTGACTGTTTGGATATTAATGATATTGTCATATCTAATTCTCTCAAGACAGCAGACGACACAGAAGAGGCAGATTTGACACCGTTCCTCACACTAGGTGGCACCGATTCAAACACTTACTCCTCAAGTACGTGAATGCACTTCACATTTTCTACTAATTTGGAGAACACCGACGTGTTGACGTGACTTTACCTTGAAAGTCTAGACTGATTGTTTTATTCTCCCTCATTAGAGTAGGCTTGTTGGCACTTGTTCGTACTCATATCCAATAGATGGAAAATACTTGAATACTTGTTATAATACTACCATGTAAACCTACTCTGCAGCAATACAAGTCATGCTTTTAGAGGTTATTATCATTAAGAAAGATACTAAACATGGCCACACTATTTTTGTATTTAGTGTAGAAATAAAAGGTTGAATAAAAAGGACATCATGTATACAGTACCTAAGTAAATGTGACGTCTGGCCACTGCGTGTGTGTGACTGCATGTCAGCGAATGGTCTACATATGGTGCACAATTTGAATCGCACTATTGTATGGATCTGTATGCATGCCTGCCTACATCTAAAGGTCCACTCTTGCGTATAAGAAAGCTGCTGAATGTATGCTGCAGTGATTTGTGCATGGCTATGTGTGTGTGTCTGTGAAGGGACTATTTGGCATGGTGTCTTCTTCAACACCTGTGTATGTGTGTGTGCGTTTGCGCACGGCTGTGTGTGTCCGTGTCTCACCCGAGGGTAAAGCACTTAAGCGTTGTGCGCCTGAGTCCAAACAGCTGTGAGCAGAGGCAGGCAGCGCGTGTCTAAATGACTAGAGACCTGAGATAGAGCCCACAGGGGGAGCACACCTCTGAAATATACATGTCACTCACACTGAGAGGAAAAGAGAGTGTTGGAGTGCTGCAGTGGTCAGTCTGGATGAAAGAAATTAAAAAAGTAAGACAGACTGAGATTGAAAGAAATATATCTATAAAATGCTACAAAACTCTAGTCTGAAGTTTGTTCACAAACACCAAAGCAGCGCTGCGTTCAATCGGCCAGTTTGGCTCCATGGGGCCTGTCGGGGGGCCATGTGGGGCCACGCCTCCCCACTTCCCCTCCACCACAGGCCGCAGCACTTGCCCCTCAACCCAACTCCATATATATGGTAATAAGAGGAGTGTGTAGGTTGGGCGGAATAGTGTGTGTGGGTGTGAAGGGGGGGGATGATGGACAAGGAAGCAGGGGTGCAAGCCCCGGGGTCAACCGCATGCTTTAGTCCTGAACGTATGAGTGTGTGTGTGTGGACACTGGGGTTAACATAGGTTCATAACAAGGGGCAAAATAGAGATTGATGAAGAAGGATGGAGAAGTTAAAGGAAATAAGGAAAGGAGAAATTAGGAGAAGGGAGGAAATAAAAGGAGAGGAGAGGAAAGACGAGGTGAAAATAGGAAAATATTGGAAACTATGTTAAAATAAATCGGATTGTCAATCTCTGATTTTGAGTGTTGTCCTATTATTACACACAGAAGTCTTATCCCATGTGTGTGTGTCTCTGTGTTGATTTGGGAATGACCACTACACTTGTGAGGGGGTCCGAGGGTGGACAGATGATGGCAGGGGCATGCTGGTTCTGTGTGTGTGTGTTTATGTGTGTGTGGGGGTCAGGGCCACAACGGCTGACCAGATATTCATAGAATTCCACTTGGTTGGACACAAGGCTTCTCGTCAGCCCCGTTGTGCGGCCAGCCGAGAAAACGGCACAAACAGCAATACATCCTCAAATCCAGCGCGGCCATACTGACCCAGCTGGAGGTTAGTGATAAAAGTTCAGCAGTTTGATTTGCAGAGTCACAGTGAGTTTTGTCAGAGACAAGTTGTACCAAGGCGTGCATTAGTATGAGGAGCTGACCGTTGCTCTGACACTTGTTTGATTGGTGGAAAAAGGACAAGACTCGGGATTCAACCTGGGACAAGCGTGGACAAACATTTCAAACTCATGCACAATCACTCTCTCGGTCTCTATCGTAACACTAGAAAGGCCAATGTGTGCACAGTTCAACTGCTCGAGTCATTTATGTCTATATTTGTCTAAAACTATATTCTAATTTAAACCAATTGCCAGCACAGATATAATTTTTTCATTGACTTTCAAAATAAATCCAATTTTGTAAAGAATTTTAAAGAAATGAGTGCCTCTTTATGTTTAAATAAAAGAATATGACAGGTCAAATCTTTGACAAAAATGTTGCGCTGTTTAATGGCTAATTTGTATTAAATATTTTTTTTTAGCCTATAGTCTTTTCAAGTCATTTTCTACCTGGAATTTCTTTTTGATTCAACATAAGTGGTTAATATTGGACACCCAAGCTTGTGAGCCAAGTAATGCACAAATCCACTGACTTTTCTATTATTAAACGAACACACACACACACACACACACACACACACACACACACACACACACACACACACACACACACACACACACACACACACACACACACACACACACACACACACACACACACACACACACACACACACACACACACACACACACACACACAGACACACAGGTCTTCTTGGATTTCTCTTACCTTTTTGTTTGGTAGCGGGGAGTTACGGCCCTTGTCGCTCTGTGAGTGTGTGTTGGTGGGGGGGGAGTGGGTGCCCATACTGCCTTGGGGTGGCAGGCTGCCTCCGTGCTGCTTGGCCCCCGGGGAAACCTGCATGGCCGCCAGCTGAGCTGCATACAACTGCTGCAGACAGACAGGTAGAGAGACAGAGAGACAGGCAGGAGTCAAGGTGGGGGGGGTGCATAGAAAGAAAATAAGAGGGGTAAAAGAGAGGGGAGGAGGGAAAAAAAAGGAGAAGAAAGGGACAACATGAATAAATGAATACTCGAGAGCACAACAAAAAAGAAGACGGCGGCTAAAAAGCTCTGGAAGAAGAGGCCATTAGTGGCCCGGCCTGTTTGTGTGACAGAGAGAGAGAGGGACATCTCTACTGTCCCCCCCTTCCCCCATGGGAGAAGCGCTAACAGCCTCTCTGACAGGCCCAGAGACGGCCATGTCCCCTCCAGGTGCATCGTGGGAGAAAGGGAAAACATTCCGGCTATCGAGGTCACGCCGGAGAGCCCGGCTCTTGCTCAAGGTGATAAAAAGTGATGATGGAGAAGGAAAACAGAGATAGAGGGACATTTGTGAAGCTTTATGCCAGATGGGACATGCCAAGTGTCTTTTGCCCCTGCAAAGTTTTTAGCGTGCTGACAATAAGATGCAAAAACACACAAGAACGCTATAAAATAGTCAAATATAAAGATGAATTGATTCAATAACTGCTGTGCGGAACAAAAAAAACCCTTTTCCCCTATTCTTATTTATGTATTTAATTAATTTCCAATTAAATAAAGGCATTATGGCTTGAGCTGCTATGGTGTGAACATGCTCGGGAATATTTATGCAATACCATTGTATAACACAAAACAGTCTCTGGCCAGTATTTACACGGCAGACACACACAGCATAATATTCACAATTTGGAAGGAGCTTCAATGTTCATAAACACTTCTTTCTGTCTTCCGTCTCAAAAATCCTCCTGCAATTACTTTCATGTCGGCTAATACAAATCTCTAAGACGCTGTTTTGTTTTCTCCGAATTGTTATTCCCTCCTCTGAAGAGCAGCAGAACGGTTGTTTAGCGATTTTTGACTAGTTATAATTGTTATCATTTATTTCTGGTGGAAGATTTTTCTGGAAAAGGACCATCCTTTTTTGTTTTTTTTAGTTTAACTTCCGTCCTTCTGTTGGTGCTTGGCTGCCGGCCACCGGCGTCAAACAAAGGCTGGTTTATGCAAATGGACAGGGAAGAGATGCTGTCACTGCTATCTCTCTCTCTGTCTGTCTGTCTGTACCTCGCTCTATCTGTCTTGACAGCCACATTAGCTCCTGCTCTCCTCTGCTATCTTAAATAAAGACATTTATCTTTTTTATACAAACAAGAAAAAAGAGGAGACATTCAAATTGGTAGCACACACTCAAGACAAAGAAGTAGTTTTTGGAACAAACTCATATTTGAATTTGAAATAACTTGACTCTCATGTGGTAACAACAATATTCACTGTCCAACACTGAAACAGTGACTTGCTGTATTGTATTGCTTTAACTGCTTTCCCAAACTTTTAGTTTACTCTTAAATAAGATACATGTTCTGTCCTTGTAAAAAGATGAACTGCTTTCTGCATTTATATATAGACATGAATGCAAAGTAGCTTCAACACTGGAAGCTTTACATATGCACTTGCATTTGTGTGTTGTCATCTTTCAAAAAAGAAAAAATCAGGAGTTGATGTTTCCTCTCTGCTCAGCTGATGTCATGGACACCGAGGGGGACGGTAATAATTGAGGTACATACAGTAGACAGGGTGCTGCTGCTGTGGAAATCAGCGGGAGATCGGTTGTGCTCTGGCGAGTTACGTGAATGCGGTGCGGAGACTGAGATCAGATCAGCCTCTGCTCGCTCATTTCTCTTCAATTAGCCGCACTGTGGCTCCTGGAAGAGAGAGTGGGGGGGGGGGCAGCCGAGCATGAACACCCCTCACCCGCCCTTCCCTACCAGCCAAACCCCCTAGCAAGGGGACCATAGGCAGTGGGTGTGTGTGTTGGTGTGTGTGTCTGAGCGAGTGTGTGTGTCCTGCCATATTCGGACCAGTGGTTCAAAGGCCTCTTTATTTGCCGAGTGAATTGAGTTCCATTACAAGGCCAGCTCCCGTCACTCAAAGCCCGCTCAATGGGCCGGCGAGCAATGACACACACACACACACACACACACACGCACGCACACGCACGCACGCACGCACACACACACACACACACACACACACACACACACACACCACACACACACACACCACACACACACACACACACACACACACACACACACACACACACATTCTTACACACACATGCTTGCACACACACACAGAGGGCACTGTAGAGCGCGCCCAGAGCGTCGCCACAACGACATGCATGTCAACAAACAGGAAGTGACAGCGCAAAGCCCTTTGGGGTGACCGGAGGAGTGAACTCACACACACACACATACTAACACACACAAACACACTCACACAAAGCAACACAATGAGCGAGGGGTGGGGGAATGCAATCGTAGATGAAGGATGGGACTAAGGAATTTGAAATGTCACTCACTGGCAAGGCATACTGCTGAGCTGTGTGTGTGTGTGTTTTTTAAGACCGGCTTGTCTGTGTGTGTGTGTGTGTGTGTGTGTGCGTTTCTGTGTGTGTGAATGCGAATAAATGAAGCTCGTTGACAAACAGTAAAAAGGTAATATGTTACTGAGTGTTTTTCCGAGCGTGGGGAGGATTGTTTGGTATTAGTGAGATTGTACTGTGTCTCTCGTCATCTTAGTAGGGGGGATCATGTTTGTTTGGGTGTGTGTGTGTGTGTGGGTGGGTGTGTGAGTGAGTCTTGGTCAATAATCTGCAGCTTTAGTCAGATTACCAGCCCGCCCGGTCTTTGTTGTGAGAGTTAGCGGCGCTTCAGAGCTCTATTGTTTACATGGACACCGAGGACTATTGTATGGATCTCAATGGATTCTTGTCTGTCTGTCTGACTTCCTGTCTGTCTGATGTTTTTTATCAGTTCGTGTAAAAAGAGTGAGTCAGAGACATTGGACACAAACCCTATCTTCGCATTTTCCCCTTTGATTCTGTCTCTTTTGTAAGTAACTGAGTAACGATTTGTGATTGAACCAAGCAACAAATGAAGTAAAAACAACCCACAGAGCGAGCTGAATACAGTGGGAAAGTGTTTATAACACCATTACAGTTGCTTTCCTTATACCTTTATGGCACAGCCTCAAGGACATTTTATTTTTCTTTAACAACAAACCTTTCAAGTGTTTAGGTTATTTTTCTTTGTGCTAGGTTTAGATGGTTGAAAAATAACTTTAAAACAAAACCAAAGATAGCTAGTTTTCACTTTTATATTTCTATTACTTCAAAACTGCATCCTGAACGTTTGGTTTTCTCATCACAATGTTGAGAGGAATATGTTTAAGTAATTAAAACACACCAATAATTGATTAGAGAGTTTATACATCTACATGTGCTTTACTCATTATGTGTTTGGAAGTGGTAAGGCCGTTTGCCCAGCGATAGTGGCCTATCTCTGCTGCCTATTGATTTACATTGATCCCACGCTGTTATCACAAAATGGCTTTTCCTTACAACTCCAAGCAGCCTTAAGGCCAACAAGAAGATACCAACGGTGGAGCAATACTCTCATCTGAGAAAACGCTTCCCTGCACTGTTTCTCTCCTGAGATAAGGGTTTGTGGGGAAATGAGTTGCTCGATTGATTTCTCATTTACCTTCTGTCATCTGTCCCTGTCTGTTTTTTCCTCATCACCCCCCCCCTACCTCCCTCCCTGCCTACCTCCCTCCCCCTAACCGCCTGTCCGTTGTTCGCCCGCCCATCTCTCCGGTGTACAGTGTGGTAATCCAGGACAATATGTTCCAACATCTGCCTCTCCATATGATGCCTGACCCGTGCCATTGACCCTCTTTATGCCACGCCACACACACAAACACACATTTAATCTCTCACGTACATCCACACTTTTTCTCCTCCACTTACCTCTTTCCCCACCATTTCTCTGTGTTTATCCTTTTAGCTGATCATCCTTCTAAATACCTCTCTGGTACCTTTTCACCTTTATCGCCAATCTCTCCCTCTCTTGCCCGGATGAGAGCATTTTCTTTTTATTCTGTCTCTCCGTCGAAGTCCATTTGTGGATGATATCAATGATATCAAGGGTCAACAGGGAGCCAGATTAACATGCTCTAATGCACAATGTCACACTCATCCCCCAGATTAACACGCTAAATGCCAACCTTGTACACTCGAAAGCCTTGAAAAGCGTCTGTAAAGGATTCTGTGACTGTAAGAGCTACTCTGTTGATTTCTATGAAAGATATTTTACACATGTAAAGAGCTTTACATCATTGAGAGATTAATACATGTTTCTAAGAACTGCACTTAACTCAAATCTGTGCTGTTGAGAGTTTTTATCTAAATCTTTCTATGTATACCGTTTCTACACAGTGTGTTCAGTGTAAGAGCCATTGTGTCGTCGCTGTGCCCTCTTCAAATCACAGAGAGAGAAGGGGATTCTGAAAGATTGTTTGGCATTATATCAAAAACCCTTTATAGTTGAAACATTTACATGTACATGTGTGACTGTGCTTGTGTTTTTAACATACAGCTGTTTTATCAGCTTATAATTGAAATGTTCTAACTTTATCCACATCAGTTTTTTTTTAGATCTCGACAATGTTCATGTTCATCATGTTCAGTTTAGAAATATCTTAACTTTAAACTACAAATATGGTGTTTGTTGTAGTTGCTGGGGATGTCACTGCCATCATTAGCCCCATTGTAGCACTTTCCCAAGTGAGTCTATAAAAGCCTTTTGAAAGTGCTGAGGCACCAAAGGTCATGACCTTGGTCGGATTTAATTATTTCCTTTCATTGCTTGAGATGAGAAATCCACTCTAAGATGTGAGATGCTTATCACTAAAACTCCAATAAATACATATTTGTACCTCATTTAAGGATTACATTATTATTTTTGTGGACTAAAAAAATGGCTTATCTTAGACTTATAACACCTTTTCAAAAAGTGCATTTTGAATTCAAGCAATTTTTGGTGTATTTGTTAAAAAGTCAACATTTTAATGCAGAAATGTAGGAAAATCATGACATAGCACAGATGAGAGATTTTGGCCAGCATTGGGTGTGTAAAGTTATTAATAACTGTATACACTGACTATGTGTGTATGTGTTCAGTTGAAGTGTCCCCATGTTGAACTAACATTATCTGTTGGCATGTTTCCATGTGCTCCTGAATGCAGCTGGGATTTTCATTGTCTTCTCTATCTGAAAATCTTTTATTTTCAATCTCTATTTGTGTGTGAGTGTGTGTGTGTTTGTCTCGGTTAAGTGGGTTCATTTGTGTCCTCCCTGCCAAACCGCTGTGTTGCCGTGGCGACCTGAGGCCCAAACTAACTGTCATGTCTTGTCTCGGCGGCAGAAACACCTCATCAAATGAGGGCGCAAAGACGATCCCAAAGGAAATCCATCCACATTGAGACATCTGTACTTGTGTTGGCCTGGGCAAATCTGTTTCTTTCTGACAGGCCTTAATCTCAATGTGCCACTGTGTGTGTGTGTGTGTGTGTGTGTTTGTGTGTGTGTGTGTGTGTGTGTGTGTGTGTGTGTGTGTGTGTGTATGTGTGTGTGACTGTGTGTGTGACTGTGTGTGTCTGAGAGGATTGTAAGAAAGAAATCTGCTAGTGAGATGTTTTTTTGCACTTGTTGTGTCCTCTCACCCCTCCCTGCTGGTGAAAAACAAAATCCAATTGCAAGGTGGACAAAGCCGTTCAACTGGAGATTGAGTGTGTCTGAACACAGTGGAACATATGGACAGCTAGATTGAAGCAGTGATAACGGCACAGAGGACATTATTCTCGGGCTAAACACAGAAATGTGCTCAAACACACGGGTTATAATGAAATCAGTGACGACAGCGGGGTCCGTTCTCCATGATAGAATTACACGCTTATTCTTTTCTCCCTGCAGTATCTAGCATATGGGGCAGCATGTTTGGCTGACAGGTGGAAATGTATTACACACACTCTGCCTCACCTTTAACCCATATTTCACCCCTCATTCCCCTTGTGTATGTACAGTAAGTGAAAAAGATGTACAACAGAAACGTGTGTGAAGGCAGCTGCTTTGCTCAGATGTCATATTTTATGATAATGCATGTGAAGTAGACATGAGGGCCAAGTGCAGCCTGTTCAGGGGCCGAGCCCCACATCGGAGGTTAATGTGTTTCAGACAGGCACACGGGGGGACGCCCGCGCAGGCTCTTAACCCCCGGGAGGCTGGGGCCCCAAAGCCCACGTGGATATGAGTGGAGGTGTGTGAGGTCTGGTCGCGTGTGTGTGTCAGAGAGAGAGAGAGAGTGAGTGTACGAGCAGTGATCGTGGGGTCGGGATTAACGAGCAATAGGCCGCTTATCCACAATGTGCAGACAGGAAGAGGACCAAAGTCAGGCTCACCCTCCTTAAAAGCACCATAACAGATGTTGACTGTTTTAGTTTTTTACCCCTCTTAGGCTTTGTCTCTCTTTCTGCTCTCTTGCTTATTAAGCGGATGAGACATGATTATGACATAAGAGGCAGAGCTGCACATATGAGAGTGGAGAAAGGTTATCCTACATCGTAAATTGAAAGCTGAGAGGTATTTAAAGCCTAACGTCCAGGTGCAAAATGTGACCATCATTTGGATCATGATGATAACTTCACACACAAAGATGCCTCTGTGCTGCTGAAAGAGATCTCTTCAGCTTCACCCACACATTATCTCTGACAGTCAGTCTGAATACTGCCGGACAGAGCCGAGGGCTACGCTAACACTTGTCAGTTCTGTGAGATTTTTGAGCTCTGATCATTGAGATCATGTTTTTCTAAGATGGCTTCACTGTCCACACTTTGGCTGGCAGTGACAGCTTTGCACCCCGACACTGTCAGGGGATTTTTTCGTTATGGGACCACCCAAGTGAAAAGGAAAATTGAATATTTGTGTGACATTCCCAGAGTTTTGATTGTTGTTGTCATGGACATGATGTCATGTGTGTGTCCTGCAGTCTTACCTGGAGTTGTAGGGGTCCCAAGCCTGGTGTGGCGGCAGCGGCGGCAGCAGCAGCAGCCATGGTTGTGGGGATGAGCTGGAGAGGGTAGGGGTCACCTGAAGGAAATCAGAGAAGATCACATCTTTATGTCAGTTTTTGTTTATTTGTACACACCAGGCCTTCTCCATGCCTCTATCCGACTTTCATCCTTTCTCCCTCTTTTCTGCATCTTGTCACCCTTTCTCCACTTACCCTCTTCCTCCTGTCTCTGCATCCCCCCTTTTTTACCCTCATCCTCTTGTTTTTCTCCTCCCTCTCATCCCACCTTTGTCCCTCTGCTTCCCCTCGCCTCACCCCCACCACCACCTGAGTCCCTTAGTGCAGCTGTTAAAGCCGTCCTTTGTGTGTGCTGCCGGTAGGGCCTTAATGAAAAGCCTGATTGTGTGTCCTCCTCCTTAATACCCCCTGACAAAGAGCAGCGAGGTGAGGGGATTCTGATAAAGCTGGCCCCAGCGCCGTAATTAAGAGCCGCCACTGCCGATTGCCGCTCTCTTCTCCCCCCTTTTTTTTCTCCTCTCAACTGTCTGTTCTCCTGCTTTGTCGGGGCTGCTTTCAGGCTGGCTCCCCCTTTCTCCCTCCTTGTGTCCTTCTTGTTGTCATCTTTCTTTCTTCACAAGTTACTCTCCACCTTTCTCCCCCCTCTTCTTCCCCCCCACTGTCAGGAATGATAAATCAAGAGATGGATGGACGAACAGGGCGGAGGAGATGACAGAAGTGCAGGGAGAAGGAGACAGAGAAGAGGACGAGAGCGGTTTATTAGTGACCAGGTGCAGATAGGCTGCGCTGTAATTACTCCGAGAGGGAGAGAAAAGGTCAGGGATGAGGGGAGGAAGTGATGGGGGGTGAGGAGATGAGGAATACTGCACCTAATAATCGTCACATTGAATAAAACCTGCCTGTTGACTGCTCTGGTTTACATTTGGACCAATCACAGTGACCTGAGGTCAGACTGTATGCTAGTGTTACATCAAGGATGCTCTATTCTTCACAGAGGAAAACTTGCTCATGGTTTGACCTTGCATCTCTGACCTCAACCTTCAGCGGTCAGCTTCTTGGGACCTTCTATTGTGCATGTGTGTGCCTGCGTAAATGTATGTGTGTGTGTGTGTATGTGTGCTTGAGATAGGCCAAGAATGTCTTTCCGGACATATTTTCCCATATAACTCGGTTCTTTAAAAAACAAAATAGGAAAGCAAAGCTGAGACATTCTTTTCTCCAACGGGGAGGAGGGCAGGAGGGATTAAAGAATTATTTCAGGACTGTGTATTCTAGGAGATGGGTTCTTTCTCCTCGCTCCCAGACAAACATGAGCTGGGTGGATATTTATGCTCCTCCTGGGGGTCGCTGTAACAAAAGGGAGACGGACGGAGGAAAGCAAACATGTTGCTCTTGGCTCGGGGACAGCGACCTCGGCGGACAAAGATGACATTTGTAACTGAGAAACATGCGAAGGAGGGAGCAAATTGACACCACAATTTGTTCACAAAATCCTACATTTTAAAAAGCTTTTCTTCAACAATTCATGGTGGGGGGGTTACATTTTCTGTTTGTCTTTAAATCATAATTAAGCAACTAAAACCAGCTCCAAATGATATTTTTAAGAAAATTATAAAAATGTCATACCTGATAATGCAGTGTTGTTTAGAACAAAAGTACTTTTTTATATTCAAACTGAATTGTAAGTCCACGCAAAGGTTAAAAAGTTATCTTTATCTTTGATATCAACAGCTTGGACGGTAGATAAATTGTGCCACTGTTCAACAAGGGTTTATGAGAGTGCCAAGAAATCCATAACGTGTGGATAAAATCTATTCCTATCTTCAAAGCTATGAGGAGCTGCGAGAATATGTCAGATCACAATGCTACACATGTCCTATTTAGAGTGGCAGCACCAAACTACAGCAACTCACAACAAGTTTGAAAGTTGCCAGAGAGTTTTCTCAGGGGCGGCTCAGCCTGGCGCCGAGTGCCAGTCCGGTTGGAGTTGGCGGAGGCAGTGAAAAGACAAGCCCACCACTTGATAGGGTATTTACGTGGGCAGTGGGCGTGGGTGAAGATGGCACTAATTAAAATGGAGTGGACTTGTTTGGGAAGCTGTGAAACTCTAAGGGGGTGGGGGGGGGACTGAGCGTGCACACGCTCATGTGCACACTCTCAGATCAATGTGGAAGTCTTTTTTTTGTGTTGCGATATCACAAAGCTTTCTCTGGCTGCCGGTACGTTAGTGTGTGTGGGCTGTGTTGGAAACATGTTCTGGCTGCTTCCTGTGTTAATGTGAGGAGAACCTGGGGCAGGTCACATTTACCACCCCCCCCCCCTCTGCTAACCCCCCACCGTGCATTTATTCCCAGCATCCCCTGGCAAGCTCCCACCTCTCTGTCTCTGCCTCTCTCTCTCTATCATGGTAAACAACACATTGCCACACAGCCGGAGCGTGATGGCCAAATAATAATAAAAAAAAAACATGTCCTGCAGGACGCCTGCATTTTGTTGCTTTTATTCGTCAAAAAATAGACAAGACAAAAGGATGGAGCCAAGAGGACTGAGCGAGAGAGAGAGGGAGAGATTGAGAGTGTAAACAGGAAGGGTGTATTTGGACTGGTTTTTCTATTAAGAAGGAGAGATGTTGTTGTAGGGGCGAGCTCGTCTTTTGGGAAACAGTCCCACTCCTTGTGTGGGAAAACGGTCAGACTCTACCTTGCTTTGGTGAAAAGCATTTGAAACATCACACATAAAAAAGTACTTTTACACCTATTCATGCCGGTATGTGAGGAAGCTACTCACTGCAGCCAGGCTTGTAGTTGAAGCCAGGGGGCATCAGGAAGCCCTGCTGGGCCGCCGCCGCCGCCGCCAGGGTCCTCTGGTCCGGGGGGAAGACGGGAATCATCAGTGGGGGGAGCTGGCCTTGGACCTGCTGATGGAGGAGGGGGAGGAGAGGGGGGTGGGGAGAGGGTAGAGACGAAGAGAGGAGGTAGTGGGGACAAAAGAGGAAATAAACATCAGCACCTTTCGCATCTCTTTAAGTGTAATTACATTTACATGCATTGAATGTGCATTTATGTGTGTAACTGACCCCAGAACAGACGTCTTTGCCATCGTGGAGACAGTTACATCTACATTACATCATAATCATTTCACACAATCATATGTATTCAGGCTCATATACATAAATTAATGACATACATATGGAACACACATATGACATCAGTCTGTAAAGCCACTAATGAACCCACCCCCTCACACACACACACACACACACACACACACACACACACACACACACACACACACACACACACACACACACACACACACACACACACACACACACACACACACACACACAGTCCTAAGCACTCTATCTTCTAGATTCAAAGACAGAAAGCAAGTTATGGGTTGCTTGCAGTTCACTAAACTCGCACAACAGCTGGCCTTTCCCTTTTCATTTGGAAGATGATGTTCTCTCCCTTCTCCCCACATCAACCCCCTCAACTACCCAAACACACAGTAACACACAACCCTCTCTGCGCGGCCGTCGGCAGAGAGCCATACGACTTCACAAGGTTTCCAGGATTTTAAAAGGAGACGCAGAAAAAAGCTCCTCCGATGGGTGGCTTTGGCAGGGACGACAGGAGAGGGAGAGAAGGAGAGACAGAAAGAGAGAGAAGTAGGAGACAGATGGTTGCACTAAACAGCGTTCTGCCAAAAACAACGCACAAAGACTTGCGTGTGATGGACTGACTGACAGTTTGAGAGGAGAGATGGGAGAAGATGAGGAGAGGAAGTGGGGAGGAGAGAAGGAGAGGAATAAGGTGAGACGAGGAGGAAAATAAGGAATCTTATCGAGCTGTAAGGCTGAGGTGTAATGCTGGAATGATGTAGAGAGAACAAGGGGCTCAAGCCAAATTGTGTGCACATTCTCCTAAAAGTCAGTATAAGCAGTTATCTCAGTTATGTTATTTTTTATTAACGTAGTTGAAACATACAATGTGGGGTTTTCATTGGCTACTAGTCTTCTTTTGAGTCTTTGGGCATGGCAGCAATACAACAATGCTACGCCTACACTCTACTGCAATAGGATAAAAAAGAAGAAGAAGAATATAATCCAAAATAAATCACTTATCCATCACAACACTCTTTTTATCTATACTTATATTATTTATTTAACACCCCAGGCAAACAGTTTTTTCCCTCCATTTGAGATCATATGAGCAAAAAAAAAAAAAATGCAGGTGTACAGGTGTATTGCAAACTTACTTTAGACAAAAGGCTTATCAGTTCAAAGGTGGCTTGTGTGTTTCGTATGTCCTGAAACACAAGTAAAACTCTTTGAAATATACGTTGTCATCGTCCTTAGTGCATTTGTTCTCTATTGATTATATACCAGAGAAGGCTCCTCCAGAATACTTTATCCAATTGATTTCAAACGCCAGCTAATACTCCATATGACGTGTAATCTGCTTGTAATACAATTGGTTGGGTGCCCCTTTAGAGCAAATCCCTGATGGGGTCTTCAGGCCTTTGACCTGTATTCCTGCATAGCACTTTGTTCCCTCTTTACAACTCATCGTCTCTCTCCTGCTCTCCCTGCCTCTCTTATTTTGCCTGGAGGGCAGAGCGGCTGAATAGGATAATGGGCAGGTAAAAGCAGTTGGATGTGAGAAAATTGATCTGGAATGATGGAAATGGCTGCACAATCATAAGGATGTGGTGGTTTCCGCGGTAAAATCAGGTAATATCTCTGGGATACGGACACTTGAAGTGCTTGAGACAGGTAAATAGAGAGCGGCTGTCTCAGTGTTAACAGCGCTCCTAGCTGCCCCGTGTGTGTATACTCAAGTTTCCCTGGGCGTATGCATGCCTGTGTACTGTAAATACCTATGTGTGTGTTTCTGTGTGAGGGGTCTCCTCTGCCCCTCCTCCTGTGTGTCGGCATGCGGCAGCCAGCAGCACTGTAATCAAACTATCACAGCGCAGGGGAATACAGCTCTCTTCAAGCGGCTCCTGTTTCCCCCTTACACCAAAAACAATAATTACTCCACCATTTTGGTTAACCATAAACCGCCGTGCCGCGCGATCAGAAGGGAGAGGCGTTCCAGCGCGACGCTCGGACAGGACCCCCGCCGGGACAAATCACAGACAGAACAGTTCCGCTTTGCCTTTCAGGCCTAATTGGACATATGCTGGAGTGGAGCTGGCTAGCAATACTGTAATGTACCGTAGGGAGGAGGAAAAGAGAGGAGAGGAGAAGGGGAGGAAAGGACAGGAAAGGACAGGAGAGGAGAAAAAAGGAGATAAGAGGAAAGTAGAGGAGAAAGGGGAGGAAAGGAAAGGAAAGGAGAGGAGAAACAAGGAGATAAGAGGAAAGGACAGGAGAGGATAAAGGGGAGGAAAGGAAAGGAAAGGAGAAAAAAGGAGATAAGAGGAAAGGAAAGGAGAGGAGTTGAGGAAAAGAGAAGAAAGGAGTGGAAATAATAAGAAAGGACATAAGAGGAAATGAGAGGAGAAGATAAAAGAGGAGAGGAAAGGAGCTGAGGGGAGACGAGTGGAAATAAAAGATAAGAGAGAAGAGGTGATAAGAGGAGAGGAGAAGAAAAAGAGTAGAAGAATAGATGAGAGGAAAGATAAGTGAGCTAAGCGGAGATGACTTGGGAGGAAAGAAGGGGCGAGCGAGGAAAGGAGAGAAGAGGATAAGTCTGTGGCAGCTGTAATTCATACATACTGTACATAGACACACACTGGCACATATACTGCGCGCAGATGGCTTCTCCTCTCTATATCTGCCTCTTTTTATATCTCTTCAAAGGCTGCGCACAATAGGAAGATATTAATCAGCCTACAGAACTGTTGCACAATATATGTGCGTCTCCACAATGGGATAAGAAGAGAGAAAGGCACAAAGGAGGAAGACAAAAACACTGAAATACACAGAGGAAAAGACAGAGAATGGTTTATGGAGGATCATTTCCTCCCATATGGCGCTGTTATAATAGTTGAGTTGGATATGTGTGTAACAGCTGTTGAGCTGATGAGCAGCACCACGAGCCTACCATGGTCACACACACACACACACACACACACACACACACACACACACACACACACACACACACACACACACACACACACACACACACACACACACACACACACACACACACACACACACACACACACACACACACACACACTCTGACCTCCACACATATGAGGCAGTAAACATGGTCAGAGCAAGTTGAGCGTAACAGTGAGAAACATGGCACTCAAAGGCTGTCTGAAATGTGTGTGTGTGTGTGTGTTTGGGTGAGGGGGGTTGTCCACTAGCTGATCATATTATATATCGGAGCGTCCCTCTGTGCATTCCTTCACATTTACATTCCTATACATCTACAAAATGTAATCAACTAATATTGGATATACAATAATGCAATACGTTAAAGTGGATTACGAGTTCTGTGTGTTAGCCTCGTGATCATAGTGTAAACTTTGAAAGTGGGACTAGTAGAAGAGAGAGGGGGAGCGCTTTCCCAAATCAGAGAATAAGAACCAGAGACAAAGCGGTGCATTGACAGAAGGAAAGAAAAGCCTGTGAGAGAAAGTGATGTTGAGAGAAACAGAGATAGGGAAAGTGAGAGCGAGGCCAGATCTATCAGACAATCTCCAGATCCCACATAAAGGAAAAGGCACATCTGAGACAGCAGGCGCTTTGGGGAATAACGCACTCCTCAGCTTCTCTTTCACATCAGGCCCAAAGTGAACATGAAAACCTACAACACAGAGAAATCATCACACTGCTGCTACTGTAGGCTGCAGACGCCGAGGATAAGGGGATTCGCTTTTTATCTGAAAACCCCTCCCCCAGATCCAAAAAAGAAACCTGAAACAAAGAAAACGGGAACTCATCTGAAAACAAATCCTCTAATCAGGGATAACTGAATGGAAAACAAAGACAAAAACTCGGGAATGGAAACATAGATATAAAGGAGACTTTATTTCCAGAGAACTTTTCACAGGGGCAAAAAGGCCAAAAAGAGAAGTCGACAACTCACCCCGGCGAGAACTTCTCAAGAAATAAACAGCAGAATGAAGAGGAGAGGGAGAAAGAGCGAGGGAAGGAGAGACGGAGAGGGGAGCAAATGTTGGATAATTGGCAGCGAGTCGAGGCTGCGTTCACCACGCGCCAGGCGGCACAGCTTGAACTTAAAGCGCCGCTGCGGCATAATGAAGATGTGGCCGCTAATTAACATATGGGGTGCGAAACAGGTTGGTTGGCACGAGGCGCGCTAAAAACTCCAAGGTAAAGTTATTATTGGGGAGTAATTAGCTCTATGAAGTTAATGCGGCGAACAATAGCTGCCAGCGCCGCACAATATGGCTCGCATCTGAGCGCGCGAAAAAAATAGCCCCCACTAAAGTGCGAGTCCCACAGCTAAAATCTGTTGCCGACCATATGCTCCAGCAATTAATGCAAGACCTGGATGACCTATTGCTAAAGAAGGGACGTGCGAGCGACAGAACCAATAATTAATTTGGAGGGACGGAGAGAGGGAAAGAGACAGAGAGAGATAGCCAGCCTTTAATATTAGTCCATTAACTTTCTATGGACAGGGGCTATTAGAGGCCAGTCGGCTGTGAATGTAAGGGCATGGTTCATGTCCCAATGGCTGGGATGCACACACACACACACACACACACACACACACACACACACACACACACACACACACACACACACACACACACACACACACACACACACACACACACACACACACACACACACACACACACACACACACACACACACACACACACACACACACACACACACTAGAGAGAAGGCAAGTGAGAGTCTCTGTGGAAATGGCGCTTGGTTGCGGTCCAGTTTGAGTGAACGCGCGTTCACATCGACACATAAAGTGCATAAGGAAAACACAAATTACACTGGTTGCGGTGTAATGGGAGTGATTAAACAATTACACAGGCAATTGGGTTAGCCGCTCCTATGTACAGTGTACGGAGGTGTGTGTGTGCGTGCGTGCATGCACAGTATGTGGTTTAACATGCACAGAGGCTTGTGCTTGTGACTGCATCAGCTATAACACTTGGAGGGTGTGTGTGTGTGTGTGTGTGTGTGTGTGTGAGTGTGTCTGTCTGTCTGTGTGTGTATATATGTCTGTGTGTGTGATTCAGTTACCAATGTGGGTTAGCCCTAATAGAGAGCGTGTTAGCCGCTGTCCCCGGCGTGTCTGGCCTCTCTTAAACTAGTCAAAGCATCAGGTGGCTTTACTCATTTCCTGATTTATTTCTCACTTTTTCTTTTTTTCCCTCTTTGCTGTCCTCCACATATAGGCACTGTGGCACTTGATGAAATGAAAGACTGTGTGAGTGTGTGTGTGACTTGGTCTAGTGGTTTTTGATTCATTAGGCAGAACACACTCGTGTCCCCTCATCCCTCTGTTTCAATATACACTGTGGGTGTGAGCGCTGCCTCTGTTCTATAAAAAATGTGTGCGTGTTCTCAAGGTAAGCCCTGAGCCGCTCGGCAGGTGAGCTCCTTTCATCCCCGTTGCGCTTCCCGCACAGCGGCAACAGTCGTCCCCGGCAACACCGGAGGGAGCCTCGGAGACAAGTTGTTTAATTAGAATGAGAGGAGACGAGGAGCAAAGTAAAGCGAAGTTCGAGGAAATGTGCTCACCCCTTTGAGCTTAACAAGAAGGCCCCTAGCAGGGGGTAGAAGTGTGTGTGTGTGTGTAATGTGTTGTAGTGTGCCTGTGTGTCTTTATGCGCTCACATGCTGTAATTCTTTAGAGAACAAGTTATGTTGTACCCTCTGATTGAGCACAAAATTGTAGGGGTGATGTGGTCTCAGGACTGGGATTAAGGGTTGGAATTAGAGGTGGGGTAAGGATAGAGGTAGAGGTTAGTTTTATTCAGGACTTGTCCTAAAGAGCAAATCAGGATCAGGATCTAGAATGGGATATTCCCCTAAGAGTAAACTTTGAATGTGTGTGTGTATCGGCAGAGGATGTGACAAAATATAGCATAATAATTGAGTCTAATTTATGAATAAATCCAGGCACATTTAATTAGTCAGAGCAATAAAGTAGCCAATCACTGACTCCTGGACACTAATGAATGGTGTGTGCATGTGTGTCCTGTTTGACATTAGCTTATGTTTCTGTGATGCCCGCCTCTGTAAATAAACCGGCTTGTTTGTCAGCCCCGCACCACATTCAGAGAGTGCTGTTGGCCTAAATAGTGGACCCTCACATGCATATCGCTGGCTTGATTTGGGTTTCAGGGTGAGAAAAATAGGAAACCGGACACGAGGACAATAAATAATTTGTCCTCCTTTCATGAGGGATGTGTGTCACTCCTCTCTTTTTCATGAGCTTGATTATTCGTTTCATTTCATCACCTCTTCCAAGTGGACGGTTGAAAGCATTCTTCACAGGCCTTTGGGGGTTTGGGCCTAACAAAGCCAAGGACGCAGACACACACACACACACACACACACACACACACACACACACACACACACACACACACACACACACACACACACACACACACACACACACACACACACACACACACACACACACACACACACACACACACACACACATACACGAAGGGACAGCTGAACTCAGCCTCGTTAGGGGGAAATGCAATCACAAGGGGCTTATCATACAGACAGAAAAAACACACACAGACACACAAACCCCAACACTCTGAACCTGGTGCCCTCTCTCTGGCAGGCCATTGTATTGTGGGATTGTGCGGACAATCTCTTCATGAATGATTAAGCAGTGTATTTCTCGACCAAGTCTTTGATGATGAGTGTGTGTTTGATCATCAGGCGAGTGTGAAGCGCTCTCCGAGACTGCTTGCGATATGCGGGCGAGAGGAGGCGTATATATTTTGTTGTATGTTTGTTTGTGCACACTTTGATGTGTGTGATATACGTGGATGTTTGTGCGCTCCTGTGATGAGCCCCTGTTGATTGTGTCCCGCTCTTAACGAGGCTGCCTACAGCTGCCCCTGCTTGTGAGAAACTATTGTTGGGCCCGCTCAATGGAGAGACGCTTGTTTGGGAAAAGGTTGCAAAGTCATGGGAAAAGAGAGCTTTGTCTCGACGGGGTCGCGAGGGAGTGAATCATGAGCGGACGTGTTTATGGCTTAACACACACAGCTGCGGCGAACACACACGCGCACGTACGCACAGATGAAGAAATGGATGCTTGAGAATGCACAGAGGAAACCTAAGAAACAATTTTTTTTTTGTCAAAGACACAAAACACGAACAATTCATAGTTTAACTCGCACAAAGCAAATAAACACAGCTGCTTTACACACAATCGTGGACACATAGACACACGTCCCACATGCATGCTATCACAAGGCCTCTTATCTAACTGTGTACTGGTAAACTCTTAGGGGAAAGGGAGTGTGTGTGTGTGTGTGTGTGTGTGTATGTGTGTGTTCCCTCTTGGACAGGGTGTCTCTTTATGATACAAAGCCTGGCTTTCTCAGCTCAAAATTCAGTGTCATCTGCTTTTACAAAGGCCTGGGCTATTCGTTCCAAGCCACCTGGACCAACATAGAGGCTCCAGTGTAGCAGCCAAAAGGACAATACCTCCATTTTTTAGTGTTACTTATATACCCACCCTTTTTTCTCTGAAGCCTAAGACACAGACTCACATTCAAATGGACGTTTAAGATAATTAACTCTTCAGATGTATTTTTGCTATACAAGGTTATCATCATTTCCTTATATTTCCTGGTGAAAGGAATTCCTCCTGTGGATGTCAGGTGATTGATAAAAAGCAACGAGAGCATAATGCTTCCTTTCACTGGAAGATAACAAAAACGAACTGATTTATGAATGGCAAAGGTAGGATGAGGACAGGTAGCCAAAGATATGTGAGTCAACTTCCTAATGGCCAAAACCAATACTTTTACTCGGGATTACATTGTGTTATCATTCTAAAATTGTATTTGAAATTTAGCAAAACAATAGAAATGATTCACTTCTGTTTTGAGTGACGTCTCTGGATTTATACAACATACATAAAAGAAATGTAAACTTGCCAATCCACTATATAATAAAGACTTCAAACGAACATACTGTTCTAGTTCTGATTTTCCAAGCAGACTGACCACTTTCAAGTGATTGCACAGGTTATGTGTGTGTGTGTGTGTGTGTGTGTGTGTGTGTGTGTGTGTGTGTGTGTGTGTGTGTGTGTGTGTGTGTGTGTGTGTGTGTGTGTGTGTGTGTGTGTGTGTGTGTGTGTGTGTGTGTGTGTGTGTGTGTTAGTGGAGGAGGGGCTAGTATCAGTCAACACTGATTCAGGCCCCAAATGCTGATGGCTGAGCAAAGAATCTGCAACAATCACAATCACAGAGTTGCCTTTGTGGGCACATCCACACAAACACTTGAACAAATACATTTGGCTGACTACACACATGGATTGGACACACACATACACACACACACAGAAACCAGGCCTCACCTGGATTTGTTGCTGCAGGAGGTTGATTTTGTGTTGCTGCTGCAGAAGCTGCTGCTGTTGCCGGGCAATCTGAGGAGGGAGAACACAACAGATTATTTGAATGTATATGCAGTGTGTTAGTGTGGGAGTGTGTGCATGTGTTGTGAGTGTTGTGAGTGTGTTGGTGTGTGTGCAGCGGGGCCTCTGGGAGATGCGACACATCTGCAGGTCTCTGAGGCCCCCGTTGCACGACAGAGGGTCGATGCCCTGGCATGAAATATTAAAGAGCTCCTCTCGTGTCGAGCTCACAGCCAAGTGGACAACACTGTCACACCGACACACTCACTGACATGAGCATTGCTGATGTCCATTTTTTATATTCTGATCAATTTGGAGAAATCTTCTTACTTTTACACATTTATTTCCGTTGCTTGTGATGACATTTCAGTTACTGGAATAAAATAAATATATATTTTGCACTGTAACTCTCCAGTGGCTTGTAGAGGGGAATGGAATGGCAGGAATACAGTATCCACATACTGTACCTTCACGTCCAGCTAGAACCGTTACACACTTGAGGGAAGTTAGCCAAGGGCACTGTAAGGCATTGTGTTTGTCACAGGTGATTTGTCCTTACAGCTGTGTTTCTGTGTCTATGTGCGTATTCTCTTTGTAAACCAGAGCTTTCCAGAAGCCATGAAGCACAACAAAGAGGGAAACCCTTCTCTATGCAAATACCTGGCAGACTCTTGCCTGGGAGCTTGGAGTGTGTGTGTAAGTGTGTGTCTGCACTGCATCCGCTCCAACGCTACGTAGCCTCAGCTTATTCCTGTGCAATGTCCCTGTGTTCAAGCTGCCAAAGGCGCATGTCTCTGGCTGCTCGAACACTATACAGTATAATATGTGTGTGTGTGAGTGTGTGTGTGAGTATAGAGGAAGAAAAGTCCTGTGCGATTTGCTGCTTTTCCACCACACCTTTCAGCCTACCGTAAGATCTGTGTGAGGATTGTTGATGACTATTTGTGATGGGTGTGTGTGTAAAACTTGTGACTCCGAATCAGCAGCCAATCCTGTGCTTTTCTTGACTGTTTACTGACATTTTGTGTAATTATGTGGGGTAGAAGATAAGTCATTTTAGGTTTTTTTATTATCTTAACTAGTAAGGGTTTTATTTGGCAGCATAGGCGTACAGTATCCAGCCCTTGTCACGCAGCGAGCTCTGTACCTGGTCCTGCTGCTGCTTGGCCAGCTCCATCTGCTGCCTCTGCTTCTCCATCTGCGAGGTGGCCAGCTTCTTCTGCTCCTCGTGGGCCGCCAGGAGCTGCTCCCTCAGGCTGCTCAACTGGCCAATCATGCCCATGAGTTGGCGCTCTTTCTCCGCCAGGCTGTCCGCAGTACCTACACGGTGAGAGAGAAGGGGTGGGGAGAGAGACAGGTCGAAGGTGAGATATAAGCCCTTTGAAGAAAAGTGTTTTACATCATTGCTGATCACAGATATATGGTTGTCAGTAATTCTAACTTCTTCTATAAAGATGTATAAGATGTTTATGCAACGGGAGCAAAGTGCAAAGATGTCATGCTGTGTTCCTCTTCTTTGAGAGATTTTCATGGCTATCCGTAGGACATAAAGGATTGTGGGGGTGAGGTTAGAGGTCAGAGGCATGAAGGAGAGAAAGGAGGAGGAAGGAACAACAGAGCAGTGTAAAGCTATCCTTGGCTTGTTGGCCAACTTAATATATGACTGGTTAGGGGCTTTGGACGGTAGAAGAGGGCACGTCAACGGAAGGCACCGTTAGCAAAGTGCGTGTGTGTGAGGAGTTGTAAAACCAGATGTTGACTTATTTTCCTGGGCAAAGGCCAGCAGTGATTACTCAAGCCACATCCATCACTGCCTTTATTGCCTTATTGGAATAAAGAAAATACATCTGGCTGAGGAAACGCGGATAAACAAAATGTGGTGGCAAAAATATTGCTAAATCTGAGCCAGATCTATATGTTCAACAAACCAAATAAATCTACCGCCAGCTTTGAAAGTGTACATTTTGCTTAAAGTTTAAGTATAATCTTAATTATTTGATTGACGTTGAATTAAGGATAAATATGGGGATTGACCTGTAGCTTTCAAGCTGTATTTGGTGTGTGGTGTAGGTGTGTGTGTGTGTGTGTGTGTATGTGTGTGTATGTAAAGAGAGAGGAAAGAAATGCGAGAAAGAGAGAAGGTGAGTGTGTCTGGTCTGTGTTTACCCTGCAGTCAGCCAACCTCCTGCTCACATTTAGCATGGCCTGACCTCTGACCTCTCAGATCCTGACATACCAGCTCCATTACACACACACACACACACACACACACACACACACACACACACACACACACACACACACACACACACACACACACACACACACACACACACACACACACACACAGAATTACACAAACACTTCCACACAAGGCCTAAATCATTCAACAGGATGTAGTTAGAGAGAGGCACACTGAGGCACAATCAGTACGAGTGTGTGCGCCCATGTCTGGTCATATGTACCGATGTTTGCCTACATGCCTTTGTTGTGTGTGTGTGTGCGTGCATGTGTGCGTGCATGTGTTGAATAGCACAATGCCCCATTGTTCTTCAGCTGCTACCTTTAACAGGGCCGCATTCCAGCGCCAGCCAAACCAGATGAGGAAGAGAGAAGGAGAGAAAGAGGGTGAAAGAGAGGAAGCAGGGATGAAAAGAAAGAGAAGCACAGGGGGGGAGAAAGGGGGATAGAGGATAGAGGGAAAGAAGGCGAGGAGCCCCGGCTGCTGACCTGCCCTTTGACCGCTCGGGAAGGTGAGAGCCATCCATTTGTCCTCCCTGTTGGTAGCCGCCGCCTCGCGCCACCCCCCAGCACCCACCCGCCTTCACTGCCCACCGACAAACCTCCCTCTCACTCCCCTTACTTCCCCCTGCACTCCATCCATCCGCCAACAATGAACAATAAAGGCAACTGTCGGGAGCACTGGCCGCTGGAAAAATAAACACGCCGCTGTCCTAACTCACAGACCCACCTTTGTAACGCCAGAAATGTGTGTGTGTGTGCGTGCTTTTGTGTGTGCGTGTGTATAGCCAAAGCTGACCAAGACAAGAAAGAGCCTTGTGTTAAAAACGTTAGCCTGTTCAAATGGGGGGTGAAGAGTGGGGAGGAAGGGTGCAAAAGGGAGGAAAAAAGGATAAGGGGGGTGGCAAAGGTGAAACAACGGATCAAAGGAGTCTTTCTTGTAGAGGTTTCTTATTGGGGTTAACCCCCCTTAACACACTCACACACATCTAGGCACATGCACAAATGAAAACACAGTAAAAGTGGGTACTCCTGTTCAAAACAGGGTGTAGGTGGAGGGACATCCTGTGAGCGGCAGCCTGCATAGGTGTTTAAAAAAAATGGAGACAAGCAGTTGATTCTTTCCCTACAAGCTGCTCTCAATCCTCCTCTCAGCTGTGGATCTTTCATCAGTAAACCAAAGAGTATTTGCAGAAGAAAAAGGATCCAAGAAAACCACACGCTTCCTAACTGAGACGAGATTTAGAAACTTAACATTTCTGTGGTCGCCCCATAAATCAGCTGGCGTCCGCTTGTTTCCTCAGCTGCTGCGAGGCTGGCAGGCCGATCGATAACTGGTTTCCTCCATCGGTTCACACACATTCCTCCTCAGGCACACTGCTGCGGCCCGGCTCACCTACAAACCTGTGGAGGCCACACCAACCCTCTCTTTTCTCTCACACACTCATGCTTGGCGTAATTAACCAATTTGTAACAATGTAATACTTGTCACTGTGTTCGCAGTGCTAATTAATGACCCCGGCTGCATTGATAACTCCCCCCGGGGGAAGAGATGGCTGAGGGGGAGGGAAGTAAGGAGGGGAGGAGATGGAGAAGACATAGCATGATGGTGGAGGGGAGAAAAAGAGACGACAGAGAAAGAGAGCAGTCTAGAATCTAGTAAATAGTAAAGTATATTTACATGGCCATGATAACAGAATTACTGTTAATAATCACAATAGGTTAAGATTAAGGTCATAAAATGAAGGTTTAATTAAAGCACTACACGGTTAGCAGTTACCGCACTACAGTTTTGACATGAGACAAAAAGACATGAGAATATTTGAGCTGGATCATATGATAAAGCATCGTAGGTCTCTGGTTTAAATGTTTACCTCTGTGTAACATCATTGCATTTTAATGAAGTGCTGAAACAAGCTGTATATAAAACTGCCGTGCAGTGTGAGACTTTACACAAGGGGCCATTTGTTTAAGAAATGATCCCATCCTGTCACTCTCTACTGTCCCATGCCACACATCTCAGGGTTTGTATTCTAGTGCTATGAGTTCCATACTTGTGTGTGTATACAGTATGTGTGTGTTTGCTATGTGAACCACACGAGGCCTTTTACCAATGTTGCTTCTCAATAAGGCAGACGGAGCGGGGGGCGAGGCTTAACATCACTTTGTTCCCCTACAAAAACTCCTCAATGGTATTCGATGGGGGGAGAAAAAGCCAAGGGATGCACTCTCAAATAAGAGCACACACGTACAAACTGGTGTGTGAACACTTGACTTTCTGTATATTTCTCTCTCTTCTTTAATCAATGCACAAGTTCACTGTCGCAGACACACATCGTTATATAAGCACCGTCTAGGACACACACATAGACTCAACTGTACACACACACGCACACACACACACACACACACACACACACACACACACACACACACACACACACACACACACACACACACACACACACCACACACACACACACACACACACACACACACACACGGTATTGCTCCCCAGCTGTTGGTGTGTGGTGCGCCAAGCGGGACGCCCCTACACAGAAATGTCAGCGCGGCGGGGAGCTGCGAAAAAGGGGGTTTGATCAATGGAGCCCCCCTCTCTACGGCCACGCCGCTCCGTGAGGCTCTTTGATTACATATTGCTTTGCTTCCTAATGAAGCTCAATTACTGGAGGAGAACGGCAGCTTTGCCCTGGAGTTACAGGGAATAATAGCCAGACTCTTCCACCTCTCTCACATCTTTCTCTCTCTCTCTCTGGCTGACTCTTGCTCCTGCATATTCACAGCGTGGCTCTCTTCTTGTTTCACGTCCTGCCCTCTGTCCTTCTCTGTCTGTCTCGCTCCCGGATGTTAAGAAGGGTTGGAGTGGATAGAATGGGTGATTAACACCGAGATTAACGCAGAGCTGATGCACTAGCAGAGTCGTCATTGACATTTCGGTCAAACACGGGACAAGGCAGCCAGCTCGCTTCAGTTCAGGGCAGCTCTGCTCATTTGTGTTCGATCAACTGCATTTAGTACAAAATGATAGGGCCAAAAAAGTAGATTTTCTTGTTTTCCGTTACTGGTTTCCCATCATGCTTGTTGTAAACAGGGCGGATGATGTCGTGAGTTATCTGTGGGTTGGGTTAACTTTGCACGATGAAAAGTCAAGTAGCATTAGCTGCTAGCAGTTCTGCACTGTAACGATAGATTCAGACAACAACAACCTAAATACCTTTTGATTTTGCGGCAAAATAGGTTTTTAGTATTCATTATCAATGGTCATCGGAGGTGCATCTTATTAAATTGAAAGGATTAATTCAATTCTGCTCACTAAAGTTTAGTTCTGTCATTATTCAGTGGTACCATACCTTTAATCTCTCCGATGTGCCCTGAGCCCATGGCCAAAAGTTTATCCTTCCAGTCCTTTGACAACAGCCTCTCAATGCTGGGGGCCTCTGTTTAGGGTGGGGGAGGGTGGGGTAGAGGAAAGAGAGAGAGAGGGATTCAGTTGGCTGGCCAACATGACAATAAAGCTCATTTAAAGTCCATTTGCTGTAATAAAGGCAGCGGCAGCTCAGCCTAATGGCCGCATCAGCAGGAGAGAGAGGGAGAGAAAGGTGGAAAGGGAGAAGCTGATAATCGAAAGAGAGGAAATCTGAAGAACAAAAACAAGTGAGCAAAAGGGAAAAGAGCGAGAGAGGCAACGCAAGATAAAGAGAGAGACAAGTGGGGGAGAGAGGGAGCGAAAGAGAGAGGCTTTTTCCCTCTCACCTGCTGCTAGAGAATCATTAGCCCTGTGGGCCCTGAGACAAAGAGGGCCTTAATGCACCCGCCACAATGGACACATTATCAGCCAGCGCTTTGTTTTCAACACACACTCCACAGACCCTTACACACACACATGTGCACACACATCCACAGGATCACTAATTACAATCCTAACTATGGTCAGACTCACACACACACACACACACACACACACACACACACACACACACACACACACACACACACACACACACCACACACACACACACACACACACACACACACACACACACACACACACACACACACACACACACACACACACACACACACACAGTGGGGGAAGTGTAAATGTCACACATGACAGCATACACATGCAGAGATTCAACCCTACATGTGTGCATATACATGCACAAAAAGTGATCACACACATGCATGTGCACGTACTGACATCACCCTGTCGACTGTTATTGACATGAACAAAGGGGAGCGAAGGAAATGAAGGGAGACTGGAAGTGTGAGGGAGAGAGAGGAGTCTATTTACTGGGAGCCATCTGCACTTGGGATGCGAGGCCTTGCTAAGGAAAGAGGTTTTACACTTTGAGTGGAGAGATTAACCCTATCAGCCAACGCAAACACACACACACATGAATGCACAGACACCGGCAAAACACACAGCCACATGCATGAACAACATATACACTTGAATGCGCTTTATAGCTGCACACACATATGCACACGCACACTGGCAACTGCTGATGGCAGGCGAAAAGTTTGTTTGTCCCTGGATTATTTTTTTCTTCCATAATGACAACACTGATTTAAGTAAAAAGGAAGTCTTAATCTCACTGGTATGAGACAGCTTGCACACACACTAATGCTTTCCAGAGAGACAGGGAGATGTCCGGTGTGTTGAGCTCAACAGCTTAGCTCGTTTTCTCCACTAAGTGAGACATGAGCACACACACAGCCACCACACTCAACAACAACGTCTAAGTACTTTTACCCATCATTCAAGCACACACTTCTTTCTTTTCTTTCCATCACTCTATCTTTTCTCCCTGCAACGGAGTGAATGTGACGAGGATGAGAAACCACCTGGAGACTTTTAAAGGATTTATAATGACACATGATCACACACAAACAAGGACGCATGCTAGAGATCGTAGACTGCTCACACACACAGAAGGCACTGCAGCGTGTCCTACATACTGTACCTTGGTGTGTGTGTGTGTGTGTGTGTGTGTGTGTGTGTGTGTGTGTGTGTGCGCCTGCAGCCTCCCCAGAGGCCTGAATCAGGTCCTTTCCTCTGGCTTCAAGACTACAGCACTCACGTTCCATTGATTACAGCGGCCACACATTCAGACACACACACACACACACGTTGTGAAGACTCAACGGCACACCCTTTCTATTTCTCATCCCTCGTTCTTGCCTTTTCAAATCCCTCCAGCGTCCTTGGACTCTGACTGGTGTGTCCTTGTGTTTTTGACGCTGCCACTCAGCCAGTTAGCTTGCGCTGATGTGCCCTAGTGCTTTCTGTCAGAAGCCCCTGTAGCCTTCAGGGAATGGGTTAGCGGTGGGGTGAGAGTGGGAGGCAGACTGAGAAAGAAGCTGTTGTAAAAACAGGGAGTAAGGAACGAAACATGCGTAGAGAGGAAGAAAGAGTGTGCTCCTGTGCCCCCCCCCTTCCTCGCCGACAGCTGTCTCACCATCACCCCAACAGGTGCTATTAGCCCCTGGCGCTCCCCCTCTCTCCCCCTTTCTCTCCGTCTCTCCCTGCAGCCCCCTCTCCCTCAACAATGACAGAGGCTTTTAAGCCAAAGAGCTTTGACAAGTGAGAGGGAACAACAAATGGCAGTGTCGCCTGTTCTCTTTCCATTGCACTCCCTCTCTGTCTCCATCTCCTAGTTATTATTTTTATTTATTAACAGGGCTGCAGTTATTGTCCCCAGTGACAGGCCGGGGCCACTTTAACTATTAATAAAAGCCAAGAGGCTTTTTCATTGTGCGGCGGATGGCAAAATGGGAGGAAATGGGCAAGAGGAGTGGAGGGGAGAGAGAAGAAGAGTTAGCATGCTGCAGCTTTTAGTGAGATGTTGATTGATGTGGTGAACACTATGAGAAATTCACCATGACACACACACACACACACACACACACACACACACACACACACACACACACACACACACACACACACACACACACACACACACACACACACACACACACACACACACACACACACACACACACACACACACACACACACACAAGCTTGTGCAGCCAACAATAGATCTGCTTGGACCTCCTCAACCATGACCCCGCAAACAGTTCAAACCCTCTCTTGCACATTATCTCCTCATTGTGGTTGTTTTTCAGCATTAGTTGTTATGAAATATGGCCACCAATACCTGACAAAACAAAAACAACTCGTTGCACTTCTCTTACATGCAAAGCTTTAAGTCCAGTAGATGGAAATGCACCTGACATTATGTTCTGCAATTTTTCATGAGCTTTTACAAAATGTGCATGCCAGTTGAATGACATAGCAAACGTCTACTCCTGGAAAAAAAGGAAGGCCAGCAAAACGCTTTCCATGAAGATCAGAGTACCTACTCCCTGTTCTTCTGACGTACAGGGTGTGGCTGTGTGTGTGTGTGTGTGTGTGTGTGTGTGTGTGTGTGTGTGTTTGAGGTAAGCGGGTGGAGTTGGGTGCCCACGCAGGGGTGTAGGCCGGATATGTGCATGTTGGGAGCTAAGGGAAAGGGAGTACACCCGCCCCCCCATGACAAAAAAGAAGGGGTGATGATACATGTATTCATTTATATTCTGTATCAGCTTGTTCCAGCTCCTTATTAAAGTTATATGATGTTTACACAGGATTAAAAATGTAAACGCAATATTAACATCAACTTGGAAACTTTTACAATAATAGTTTTGACCATCTGTACTTCAATCACGGTTGTTATCTTTGACAACAAAAAACGCATTAATTCATCTGAGGGTGAGGTTCCCATTTCGATCCCGCACGGCGGCAAGGGGGATTCTGGGAAAAGCAGAGGGGGAGAAACGCTGACAATAACTCTGGAATCGTTGGCTATTATCTTGGCTCATTGGCTCAAACGGAGTCAAGCTGCTGCCCTGCAGCCGAGCCAGAACAACCCCGTCCACCTGCCGAGAGAGGAACAGTGTGTGTGTGTGTGTGTGTGTGTGTGTGTGTGTGTGTGTGTGTGTGTGTGTGTGTATGGTGTGTGTGTATTAAAGTGAGCCCCCATCAGGCTTTTGGATCCACAGTAAGCTTTTGGTTGAGAAGCTGCTGGAGAGAGAAGGGGAGAGAGAGGAGAGGTGGGAGGAGACAACTTCAGTCCAGCTCGCCCCGACCAACCTCACAAACAATACCATCTCTCTCTCTTTTTCTCTCTCTCTCTCTCTCTCTCTCACACACTCACTTTCTATTTTTCACTCAGACGTTTTGCCCTGAGTCACCACAAGCGGCCAGCTCTATTTTTCCTATTATCTCATATTTGTGAAGCCTGGAGACCTTTAGAGGAGAAGGGAGGGAGGTTTGTGGAAAGAGAGGGAAAGAGAGGGAGCTTGGGCCCTCGGGTGCACAACAAAGGGGCCTCTGTGCCAGCG